CCTTTGCCCTAACCTCCGCGTCCAAGTCGTTAAAACTCTGCACGCACCTCTCATCTCCTGCCCTTCCCCCCTCCCTCCCCCCGGACCCAGAAATTAAATCTCGCAACCCCTTTCAATTCTCGTTGGAGCTGTCATACAAGCTTGCTGATCAGTGGCTGGTCGCGTCAGATTTCTTCTTATTGGGAAAAAACCTTGTTTTTTTTTTTTTTTCCCTCTCCCAATCTTTCACTCAATCTTTCCACGGCGCATTTTCTAGGCCTTTGGAATCCACCAGTTCCAAAGGCTCCAAGCTCACCACGGCTCTCGTAGCCTCGCGTTTCGTTCTTCGTCACATTGTATCTCCGAGACGTCCCCGCGACACTCTTAACAACATTCCCCCTCCTGCTGGTGTCGACTCCCGTGTTTCCGTTCGGTGCTCCTCCTTTTAACCTCCTGACGCCCACGCCGCTCATCCCCTCTTTTCTTGAGCTGCCGCATAGGACTTCTCTGAAGGTTCTTCCTCTCAAGGAGGAAGGGTCTAGGAGGCTTGGTCCAGTCAACTTCGGTTGCGAATCTTTTCGCCCTCCCTAACACGCAGTCGCGTTAAAGACACTCAACTTTTTTTTTATTACTTTACTTTTTTTTCAAAGACCTATTCCGTGCTCCGTCGCAGCGCGCATGGTTATGGCACCGACTGCTTGTGTACCTGCTGAAGTATGCACTCCTAAATACTACCAGGAGAAACAAGACCATAATCTCAATTGGGATCATGGTCAATTCAGCAATCATGGAGGGGACGACATATCGCAATCCAGGTTGGCTGCCAAGGAACTAGTCTTGGACATCCTGAAGAAGCGCGCAGCCGAGGTCAATGTGGACAGCTGCGCGCCGGGAGAGGAGGACGCGTTTTACGTGGCAGATATGGGGGAGATCTACCGCCAGCATCTGCGCTGGAAAATGAACTTGAGCCGTGTTCGGCCTTTCTACGGTAAGGACTGGATGCTCAATTGAGGATTTTGTGACAGCGGCTAACATTGAGTCAATAGCGGTCAAGTGCAACCCGGACCCGGAGATCCTTCGCCTCATGGCTAAACTCGGAAACGGTTTTGATTGTGCGTCCAAGGCGGAGATCGACATGGCCCTTGACACCGGCATCGACCCGAGCCGCATCATCTACGCGCAGCCCTGCAAGACCAAGTCCTATCTGCGCTACGCGGCCCAGGTGGGCGTCAAGCAGATGACTTTCGACAACGCCGATGAGCTGTACAAGATCAAGGCCAACTACCCGGACGCTGAGCTTTATCTGCGCATCCTTACGGATGATTCGAACAGTTTGTGCCAATTCAGCATGAAATTCGGAGCTTCCCTGGATGTTGCTCGCCAGCTCCTCGAATTGGCGCACCAGCTCGAGCTCAAGGTTGTCGGCGTGAGCTTTCACGTCGGATCGGGCGCTGAGGATCCTAAGGCTTTCCTGAAGGCCGTGCAGGACGCGCGCCTCGTGTTCGACCAAGCCGCAGAGATTGGCCATGAACTGCACACTTTGGATGTCGGCGGAGGTTTCTCCCAGGACACGTTCGAGAAATTCGCCGGCGTTCTGAGCGAGGCGTTGGACACCTACTTTCCGCCTAGCATCCGGGTCATTGCCGAACCGGGTCGCTACTATGTTGCCAATGCGTTCACTCTGGCAGCCAACATCATCGCTCGCCGTGAGGTGCGCGACCCGGAGGACCCGACCAACGACGCCTATATGCTGTATCTCAACGACGGGGTGTATGGAAATTTCTCCAACATCATTTTTGACCACCAGCACCCCGTGGCTCAGGTCCTGACCTGCGCATCGGCCGCGAACTCCCCTTATGCTGCGACTTCGGGGGGTGTCACGTACTCCATCTGGGGGCCGACCTGTGACGGCATTGACGTTATCTCCAAGCGCATCGAGCTGCCAGCTCTGCTGGAAGTTGGAGATTGGCTTTACTTCGAGGAGATGGGAGCCTACACCAAGTGTAGCGCGACCCGCTTCAACGGCTTTTCGGACAACCACGAGGTGATTTACATCTCCAGCGAAGCCGGGGCTTCTGCGCTCCTCGAGTACTAGATTTACTATTGTTTGATATCTTTTTTTTGGGCTTTCTGTGTTTGGTACCTATATGTTGCTCTACTTAGTAGGTCGCTCGTTGACCTGCTTTGTTAATAAATGTGTTTGTGTGCTTTTAGAGTTGATTTCGGGTCGAAATACAGTGTGCAGATTACTGAAGTGTCTATATATGGCCATCTATGCCTGGACCTTTTAATGGGTTTCCCCTATCTTAATTGCAGACAGAGTCATGTCTACCTCTAGTCTATCCTGATCTCTATCACCCCACACTGTCATCATAGAATCATGTATACATAGCCCAACCCCGCAATTTACAGGTCATCCGATGCAGAGCCAGCTCCTGCATCATGCCCAATTCTAGGTTTGGCAGAAAGCAACAACATGTCTAAAACATACCCATCTAGACCAGTCTCTCAACCACCAACTCCGCCCCCTCACTAGTACTTCCCTCCGCGACCTGAACCAGGCCACCCGCCTCCAGCCTCTTCTTCCACTTGCCCGACTCATACCGGGCCAGGATGAAGGTAATTCTAGCCGCCACTGCAGGATCGGCCGTCTCGGCCACCACATCAGACGGCGTGAACGTCCAGCGCCCAAAGGCCCAGTTCAGGATATAGTGTCTTGCTGCCGGGCCATCCGCATCCACAGCCACCGATTGGCCCGCCTTCTGCTGCTCTTCCTCTTCCTCCGACGCAGCCGGCGGCGCAGCAGTCGAGCACCGCATGACGCCCTTGATCCGATACACCTCTTCCTTGTTCGCCGCGCGCAACAGCTTCTCCACCAATGCCTTGGTATCCACCACAGCCCCATCCTCCTTCGCCTTCAACGTAACCGACAGCACCTCCACCTCGGACTGATGTCCATGTTCATGCTTATGCCCCTCCCCATCTCCATGGCTATGTCCATGCCCATCCACCCCATCCACCCCCTCCTCCCCAAACAACGCCCCATCAATCCCCAACAACACATCCTTATCCACCCGTCCCTTCTCACTCTTCACCCACGGCGTCTCAACCTCCAAATCACCCACCCGATCCAAACAGATCTCAAACTTCATCTCTCCGGCCGCCTCCCACTTATTAAACACAATCAGATCCGTATACCGCGCCTGCAGTTTCGCTGTATAACTCGTATCCTCATACCCCTCCCAATTCTCCACATCAATCACGCTAACCACTCCATCCAAGCTCAATGTGCCCGGGTGTTCGCGCGCAAGCCGATTAACTTCCATTGCTAGGGTCGCAGGGAATGCGGACCCGGATGTCTCGATGACGATGCGGTCGGGCTTCACTTCGTCGAGGAGCTGGAAGAGCGCGTCGCTGAGCTGACCGACGAGGTTGCAGCAGATGCAGCCGTTGAGGAGTTCGCGAACGCCGCTGATTGAGGAGGTGGATGCGAGCTGGGAGTCGATTGCTACATCGCCGAACTCGTTTTTGAGGAGTGCGAGGCGGTAGGTTGGGGGGAGTTGCGGGATGAGGTTTAGAAGGAGGGTCGTTTTGCCGCTGCCCAGGAAGCCGGTTAGGATTGTTATGGGGATGGGGGGCATTTTGTTTTGTGTTTTCGGTATATATGAGGGTGGTGGTAGGTAGGGTCTGTCTAAGTCTAAGTCTATAAATAATATGTAGGGAAAAGAAAGACGGAAAGAATCATGTGGAGGTAGTAGGACTGGATGTTGAAGTTGAAGCCGGAGTAAAGATTCGGAGGGGGGGTGGAGGGGCACGCTAGGACGAATCGGGTAATATATAAGATCTGGCGTGGAGTTGTTTTTTTAGACATACTTATCAATGGAGTCCCGGCTCTACTTACGTCCATATCTTCAATGTGATCATGTAAACAGCCATATAACTATCTGTGTAACGTTGTAACCCGGCCAAAGTAGCATTTTAGCTTATCAGCTGTAATGATCTTTCACCATTTGTAGTGTCCGCGCTGTTCTGGGATATGGATCTGCGGTCCTAGAAGGCTGTCGCTCTCGATATCGGTCTGCGCCGTGTGCCGATTGGATTGAGCAAGTTCTTGGAATGTGAGACCAGCAGTTTGATGCACAAAATAAGAAGACCGATCTACATTTGTCATATATGTCTTCGTTCCTTCAGGCTCTGAATCCGCTAGTTAGGTCTATGCGCAAGCAGCCTTAAGCCGTAAGACTAATGATGTGATTTGGTAACAAGGGTCCATTGGCCTCTACATTGATACCATGATGGATCCTAGATCGAGTAGATATACCTTTAGAGTGTGTGGTATACTAATCAATATACCAAAGTTTGCATAACCTTAATTTGTCAATCAGCCCAGGACGACACTCCTGTTTTCCAAATCGACCATTGCATTCGAGATTGAGATACATGAAGCCAATGCTGTTACTAGTATATTGAGTACGCGACAATAGTATAAATAGTACAAGAAAACACATACTAAATTACAAATAAACGCAGGACCAAAACCAAAATCAAATTGGTCAAGGCAGAAGCTACGTCACATGACGTGACAAGCGCCTTTTGTTCGCCCTTAATTTCGCCCAGGATTCTCTCTATTCCCTTAACACATCACTGTTGGGCTTATGAAAATAAAGAGTACGCCTAACCATGATTATCTGCACTTAATCTTTACTTGAAATGCGCCGCTTCGAAAGAATTTACGATGTGGTAGAGCCTGTTGAAGAGTATCGCCGTGGGGGTTATCATCCTGTGCACCTTCACGATGTATTTCACCAAAGATACGAAATTATTGGTAAACTAGCTTTTGGCCAATACTCAACGGTATGGCTCGCGAAGGATCAAAAAATGTGAGTATATGCCTGCGAATTATGGCATCGGAACAAAACTAACAGGCTGGTGATACCTTGAAGAGACTCGCAACAGGTCATATTGAAGGTTCTAAAAGCAGAAGAATCCGCACACAACAGGGAGCTTTCTATCCTTCTGACTCTCTCAGATTCAGAAGTGGAGCACGCTGGAAAAAGACATGTAACTGAACTTCTCGACTACTTTTATCATACAGGACCAAATGGAACTCACCTGTGTCTTGTTTCCCCTGTGATGATATCAGATGGGGAAGCAATGACAATCAGCGGGAATCCGCAAGACGCAGGGTATCTTCGGGCTATCTCCCGCCAACTTTTGCTGGGTCTTGATTTTCTTCACCAGTCAGGCATCGTTCATTGTGGTATGTCGGGGCTCTTCGGTTATGTAGGCAACATACTAATAGGCTCAATAAGATCTTCAACCAGCAAACATTCTGTTCTCAGTTGCGGGGACTACGGACATGGAAGCCTTGTTACAGCCTCCCGAGTTCAGCCCAGTTAAGTGGTTGGAAGGAGTGACCGAAGATGAAAGTGCCCCCAAATATTTGATGCCTACCCAAAGGCGCCGGGGCCAGTTGAGTAAGGCGCATTTCTCAACGCTTGAGGTTAGGATCGGGGATCTGGGCGGAGGTAAGATACACTTGTTCGTACTAGTTATATCTTGTCTAGCCAGGCTTACTAAGTCGTCACACGAAATACCAGCTCAATATGTCCAACGCTGTGACCAAAAACCAGTAACACCTTTGGGATTGCGTGCACCTGAACTGATACAACAACCTACCGATGATACTGCTGTAGCTACTGCTATAGATATCTGGACCTTGGGTTGTTTGGTATGTTATGAAATTCCTCTCCACTTAGACTTACTCTTCTGATTCTTCTGCGAAGATATTTGAATTTGCAACGAACGAGCCATTGTTCCCTCTGGATACATTTGGCCTGACACGAGAGGAGATAGACAATGACCATCTTTCTTTTATCGAGCAAAGACTCGGTTCGAATAACCAGAAGGATGGGGACTTCAGATTGTATCTCGAAGAGAGATTACCGGAGAACTTTGGTGCGGGGAATGTGGAGACTCTCACTTCGTTCCTTTCCCTTATGTTGCAGAAGGACCCTCACGAACGATTACCGGCGAAAGAGTTACTTCAGACGCAATTCATGACGGATGAAAATAAGACTTGAGCGCTCTTCAGCTGTGCATATCCGCGAAACATAGTTCACTGATTTTGAAAAGCTTTTAATAGATTAGGGATAGAATAGTTTGGGTCTAATTTTGTCACCGCTGGTTCTTGCCCGCTATTTCGAGATATACTAGTCACACTACAGTTAGTAGAATATGATCAACAAAACAGAAAAATGATGTATCAGGAATTTATTCAACCACTTCGTGCATCGATCTTGTCGAGGCCATGAGCTTGTAGATTAAGTGTCGAATCTTTGAACCACCCACCAAACTTCCACACGGAACTTCCAGTGACTAATTTTAAGCCACCAAACAAGAAAAACAACACCCATCCTTTGAAACACACTATCTTTTAACACCAACCACCCTATAAGGCTGAACCATTCCTACTGCCCCTACCCCCCCAACCAAGGCCGCCCGCCAGCACCAACCTGCCACACCCGAAAGCCCCGAGGATCCACAAGGCTGACAACGATGATATCATGATCCACCTGAACTAACTTGATGTCATCGGCCACATAAGATAAACTACTTAAACTAAACCTTCCAATCAATCAATCATTCCAGCAAGATAATACCACTTTTACTAAACATAAAAACTCTCTTTCCATATATTATTTTCTTTATAGGACATCCCCTTTCTTCTACCTAATAATATTTATACTCATAGTATCATCACAATGAAAACCGTCGACGACACTGCCCGCGAAACCGCCCAAGAAATGGGGTATAAAGAGCCCGCGTCCACGACCGACAGCTCGAATGGGAACTCGATGATGACCCCCAAGAACTCACTAAATGATATGGCGCAATCGGGTGTCAAGGAGATGAAGAATATGTTCGATGGGGTGGCGTCGGCGCCGGCCCCGGGGGATTTCTTGAATAGTACGTGGGAACATGTAAGGTCGTTGATGGGTGGGGGTGGTGGTGGTGGTGGTGATGGGGAGGATGACGGGAATCGGGAGGGTATGTGCTCCGTGTTTTATTTTATTTATGTATATGTTTGTTTACTGTTATGCTGATTGAATGTTTTGGCTGGGTGTAGATGGTGTCGTTGAGCCGGCGGATGCGGATGAGATTCGATGTATTGAGAATTTGGAGAGGGAGAAGATTATCCAGTTTTTGCAGGAGAGGCATATGAGTATGAATAATACGGGGAGGGGGAAGAAGGTATGACTGGGGATTGCTAGATTCGGGTCGGATGAGTAAAATAATATGTGATGTTGGGACATTCATGCATACGTGAAGCTTGCTTCTGATTGAAGCGATATCTGTAGCTGGAAAAGCAGTGGTCTTATGCTCACAACACAGCTTTGAACCCCTTGTCTGACTTGATATCCAGTCCCAAGAATTCCGCAACCTGTCCTAGATGGTCCACTCCCCAGAATGCGTCAGTTTCGCCCTTATCATTGGTGCACTCAAACCAGGGTATGCCAAATGCGCCTGATTTGAACGCTCGATCTGTGTTCGCTATCAAAGCAGCTTTGATGTCTCCATGCTCCATCTAAAAATTGAGTTAGCAAACGCACTCAACATAAGTTTATGCAGTACAGGTCGCATACATCGGCCAACACCGACTGTGCCACGTCCTTTCCGAGTACCCCTTCAAGCACCGGACCGAAGCACTCAGGTTGCGCAATGTTCGCATTGCCCTCTACCCAGAACAAGTGATAGAGTGCCTCGAAGGCTGGCACAAGCTTGTCCGGGTGCTTCTGGGAAATCGCACAGAGCGCACGCTGCGTACTCAGCGTCCGTGGAGGGAAGCCTTCGGGGGTGGTCTGGACAATTGGGACATTGAAGTAGCGAGCCCAGCGGCAACGCTCTTTTTCAATCCACTTATCCTTATCTATATACATTGATTAGAAGTTGTCATGGACATGTTCTAGTTGTTGAAGGGGCACGCACTCTTGATCTTGATAGGGGCAGTATTTCCGCATGCTTGCATGATACCACCCAGGAAAATAGGAATATACGTGATGTTGCATTTGGCAAAAACAGGAGAGTTCTTCTAGACGTTAGAATATTGCGGTGATAATGTGAGCTATAGTGAAAAGTAGATGAATATGCGCACCTTTAGTACACTAAAGGCGATATAGCCGAAAGGACTGACTACGTCTAAGTAGACGTTTATACGCGGCACAGCCATGGTTGAAACTGCTGAAGATGATGAAAGAAAGCTAAATGTGATGTGATCTAAAAACCAAAGATGAAGGTATCACGTAGAGTGTCTTATTTGTCTAGTTAAGGCCGTACACCCCCCTGTTCTGGATGAGTCAGCATCGCGAGCCGAGGTGTTCGGATGTTCATCTGTTGATTTCTAATCCCTGATTCCCCTCACTCTACTATGTATACCCGGTTGGAGAAGATCTTTGATGCACGTTCGTATATGCTTGAAGTTGGGGCACTGATGCCGTGGTCTGCTCAGGTACGGCCATACGTGCCTTCCTTGTCAGTTCTCCTTCTGGAGGCAGTCGCGATGCGACCACCTGTAGTTAGGATGTTTCGGCAGATCATCCAGCTCGTAGCATTGACTCTCTGTATCTGGCTACATAGTGCTTGCTTGCATACTTACAAGGTAGATGGCTATGTACAACATGCTTAGCGTCGACTCCCTTCTCAGCAGGGATCGACTCAAAGATGAAAGAAACGCCTTTCTAGTACGCTTCTCAAATCATGACATTTCAGAAGAAACCGCCTATGAGCTTGATGCGCCTGATGCAGAGTATATCCATGACTCAGTGACTGAAAAGCGCCGCCATGCCGTATACTATCACCGGCCTCCCGTCTGGTGCCCTTCACGGCAGTCAAGAACATCGAGTTTCTCTGGAAGCACCAGCAGCTGGGGTACAAAGGAAACGTGCAGTGACCAAGCAGCTGATGATAATGAGATGCTGGAAGATGCATATTCCTGCATCGCCGATAGCTGTGACGCTACCGCTGCATTGGCAGATGAGGTATCTGGCACAGAAACCAACCAGTCGCAGTCTGATCAGGAGACCATTATACTTGTGAGTGTCTGGCAGCTACTGAATAGACCGTGAGTGAATAGGCTAACTGTATCAAGCATGACTGGCCCGCTCAAGACAGGCCACAGACATGGCAACAATGGGGTACCATGAGGAAATACACTCTGTCAGATTGGCGAGCCTCCGTGCAACCTTATCCGAGCCGGGTGCTATTGCAGAGCTCCGTCTGTCACAAAGGGAAAGGCAGTCCTTCACGATTGCAAGCATACAAGGACATACGTTTAGGATTGGATGAGAAGCAGTCCATCCACGAAGGATCACTTGTGATTTGCGTTGATCCTGCATACACCTTGTCCGATCATGATAAACCACGCTCTGATGAGTTCGATCTGGTTAGCGGGCATATATTTGTTGTCTGCCGCCTGTATTCCGATTTATGGGCTCTCTGTGCCAGTGCTTCGCCGCCTCAGCCGGAGAAAGTCTCCGATGAGACAGTATCAACTGAGCCTATGCGACTAGCGTTCTTGCCACTCTGCGCAGTGACGCTAGCCGCAAATTTTAGCGCATTCAATCAGAGATGCATCAATTATGCTCATGACAAGTCAGACGAGCCTAGATTTCCTGGAAATGGGCTTCCGGTTATGCCTCCTCCACGGACTTCTAGCCTCAGCGATGGCAAGCAGATCTCCCGCGGAAACAGACGCCACATCGCCTTCCCAGAGGTGGTCTACGATACTTTTACCCGCGTCCCTTTCGAACGTCGCGAGCCAGATTCTGTCCCAGCAGACTCTTCCCTGGAGAATGTGCTTTCCAATCTGACCAACCGAGGAAGTCGTCGACTCCAGCGCTTAGGCAACCGTATGTCAATCCGGAAGCTCTGGAGCGAATCTAAAAGACCTGCTCTGGGAAACACCGAGAATCAATTGTCCCCTTCATCTGGTTACCTTGGTGGAACGACAGAGTTGGGTGCAATACAGCATCATTCAGGCCTGCAGCGGCGCGGTTGTTTGAGAAGCCAGAGGCTGAGGAGTTTCATCCGGGATGCCCGATAATAGGAGACAAGATCCTTCGTTGATTTGTCTGAGTCATACTTTATCAGCGCCTATTTGATCGCCCATCGCCCTTCCTGTCAAGGTAAAAAATTGTAGTAGTAGCTCGAAAATAATGTTGTTACTCCGTATTGGCCAATTAGATGCGGGGATTCCTGCAATATGAGCAAGGCGCTTTCCTGTTGCATACCGGTAGTAGTTGCAATCGGCGCGAGAGCTAGTGCTCTGATCATCCTTGATCATGTGTGTTATCCTGTTGGGCTCTTGCTCACTTCAGTAGCGTAACAAGTAGCGAAAGAATATATAAACGCAACAAGAAGCTTCTGGTGTTTAGTATCAACTCGAGGCACCCATTATCACCAACTATGCCATCATTCCAAGCGAATCTCTACACCACCTTCGCCCTCACCACTCTTCTCATCCGTATTATCGGCACCCTCATCTACTACCTCCCTCGCTTCACGCGGCCCCATAAAACATGGACCTACCGCCAAGTCATCGCCGTAAGGCTTTACTCCCTAGGGTTGAATCACTTAACAGCAATTCAATATCACGCCCCCAAAACCCTTACCCCACGCCGTGAAGGCGACCGCTTCATAATCATCAGCCCACCAGACACCACCACGTCCGACCAACTAGCACTCCATTACTCCCGCAGCAGCATCCTTACCAGCGTCCCATCCATCAGTCCCGTCCCTATCGGCGCAGTATGGCACCCTACCCTCCCCTCTTCCAAACCAGCTCGAGTAGTCCTTCACTTCCACGGTGGCGTGTACGTCGTCGACGGTGTCCGCCTCAACATAAACGGCTGGAGCCCTAGAATACTCAGCGATGTAATGAAATCTCACGTCATGCTGCCGCAGTATCGCCTCTCCATGGAAGAAAATGCCTCGTTTCCTGCTGCCCTGGAAGATGGGATCACGGCTTATGTGTATCTTCTCGAGAATCTGGGTTTAGAGCCTCAGAACATAATTCTGTCCGGTGATTCGGCGGGCGGGAATCTTGTCCTCTCCATGATTAGATATTTGGTCGAGGAGAAGACAAAAGGGACGGAGGCATTACCATTGTCTGCGGCTGCGTTGTTATGGAGTCCGTGGTTGGATTTAACAGAGAATGGGGCGCGAAAGGTTGATCAGCATCCGCGTCGATGGGTTGATTATCTTTTGGGGATTTGCTGGAGTGGGGTATCAGGCGGGTAACGCCTATGGGTTGGAAGAGGGGACATCGTTTTCTGAGTCCCCTTGGAAATGGGTTTAGGACTTTGGAAATGCCGATTTTCCTGCAGGCGGGGATGGAGGAGGTTTTCTTTGAAGATCAGGTGGCGTTTGTGGAGGAGATGAGGCGGTTGCGGAATGATATTGAGTTTTGTGAGGTGAATGATGCACCGCATGATATTTTTATGGCAGGGAATGTGGTGAAACTCGAGAAGGAGGCGGAGGAGGCGATGGAGAGCTAAATTCCACTTAATGTGGCATTGCTAGGCCACAAGGGACAGGTGTAAGAACTGCAACCCTACCCGACCAACCATGGTACCTTAGCCCTCTGCACCAGAGCAGTACAGTCGAAGAGAAAAAGATTCCGAGAAGTTGGAGGTTGTGAAAGAACATGATGAACCAAGCTGCGCTTAGTTAGCGCTGCCAGGCCCGGAAGGAGCCATGCAGCTGTGGTCTGTTTCCTTTGCAAGAAATGCTAACCTTGACTATGGGGATGGTGCCGCCACTGGCTGGTCAAATCCTATGTAGTTCTCGCTAAACATCAAGCCACCCAATTCGTCCAGCTATTATATTGATGAAACATTCTTTTCTCTGCCGTAACAACGCAATTCAATCTCGTCAAATTGACCATGTTGCGATGGGAGTTGCTTCCGATCTAGGTGCAAATTGTGGAGCCCAGCAGACTGCATCAGGTCGAAGAAGATAGACTCACTTTCATGACGTCTCTTCAATGCCACCAAAATGACAACCTCAGGCGACATTTGCACTAACCGGCTTAGTACTGAAACCAGCGCGGGCAAGCTGTCTGCATTATAGGTACAGTCCGACACTAGAACAAGATCTATCGAGCCACCGCACAAGTCACTCGGAAGTTCTTCATCCCAGTCAAGGGTGCGGAACTCGAGCTCAGAGGAATCGGCCGGTTTCGCAACAGCTATGTTCTGTGTCACAATTTCCTCCACCTCGGGCAGATCAGTAAGTACTACAGAACACTGCGGGAGAAGCTCTGCAAGAGCAATCCCTACAACGCCACACCCTGATCCTAGTTCGAGAACATGGAGAAAAGAGTTGCGTTCGCCGCGAAGAAGACCCTGCAACAATGGCACAGAGACTGCAGGGTCTTCAGTCACAATCTGCTGAAGGTATACGACCGAAGCCACCGCCGCATCCCTGAGAATATGTAAGCCACGTACAAGAAGGAATATAGCCTCATTTGAAATGAGGAAGCCTCACCATATATGCCGAGCTATGCTGTTCCCAGTCTCTTCCCAAATCCTCAAGCCTAGGCGATCCTTAGGTCCAAAGCGTCTCTCAACAAGCTTCTCTGCTACCGAGGACGGCGACCCACCAAAAGGTGCGCTCCAGGCTGACATGACTAGAGGAAGACTGGAATCGCCCAGCAAGCGATCTGGTGAGGGAGACCGCTTCTGCGGACTTGTGGCCGTCACGCCTAGGACGATTGTCTGCTGAGAAATATTGGCAGAAAAGGGCCCGAGCATTATTGGAAGCTCGCGCCTTCCAGCCTTCCAGCTCAATGGTTCCTGATACAGAATTTTACCAGAGTCATTGAGACTCAGTGTTACAAGCAAATTCACATCTTGTGCAAGAAAATCGTCTCCCAGGTCTGTAGTGATGCAAATTAGAGCGGAGACGGATATAGACCCGGGTTTCTGTTTCTGAAACCTCGGGGTCTTGAGGAAACGGATATAGTAAACCATGCTAAAGATGAGCAATTACTAGGCGATAACCGGGCGCCAGAAGTGAGCTTAGTATACTAGACCATGCGATTGGCAGAAGAAGAAGTGTATGGACAATAGTACTTGAAAACAGCTAATTCTGGCACGGGGCACGTGCGGGCTGACTAAGGGCGGGCCGATGACATCGACCATCCATGAAGAATGTTGCTTCCTCAGGCTCCCTCTCGGGGAATCTCCCCTCGTTATTATCTCCGCCTCTCCAATGCTGCTGTTATCGTATACCGACTCCCTTTTCTGCAGGAACATATCTCCCGATTTACTCCAAGATCCCAATTCTTAAGCACAGCTATCCCATGGGGATACTTGATTTCACCCTAAAGTGAACCCATCGCTCCTGCGGCCGCGGCGTGGCTCTGGGCCAACGTCGCATCCCTACCGTCAGCCGGCATGATGCGATCGAGAGACCCTCGGGTCCGCCAGACAATCAACCAAATCCATCATAACCTCGAGTCTGCAAACGAGAGCGCTCAGGAGGGCTTATATACTTTTTCCCATAATTACGTGGTACCATGTTTTGCAGCGATTGGGAGCTGTATCTACTCATGCACTGCGCCTTGTCTCCCTAGCCGCGAAGACCAGCTTCGACGCCGCCGACGCGGCCGCGCAGAGGCTAATTTCGACTTCTACGATGACTGGGATAATGAGGATCCAAACGACGGTCTGCTAGGATGGGGTACTGACGAACTGGATCGTTTACTGGCTGGAAGCGGCTTGGCTCGGGGGAGTTCCGAACAGCCTCGAAGGCAGCGGAAAATGAGCTATGGTGCTCGGCGCACAAGGCGAAAGAGCACTGCTATAATGTCTGACGACCGTAATGACCCGACTGTTATTCCGAGTTCCTCCTTCCTGGGGTTTCTAGAGCGCTTCCCATGGAGATTTGGCGCCCGAGGGCTGAAATATCGGCCGTCAGCGGCAGATCTTCAAGAACATCCCGTGGGTTTGCGACGGCATGAACTTGAAGATGAGCCTCTCATAGAAGAAACCGAGGAAAGCGAGGGTCCAGCCACAAGAGTGAATGGGAGATATCGAAGTTCAACACAATCATCGCGTGACACGGCCAATTCCTTGAGCTCGCGTGGTGACTTGATCCCCAGCGACGAGGAAGAAGACGCAGTGCCACTAGATGATGAGTTCGCTCTAGCTCTGGCCAGTCGTCGCGGTACTGGACTCGATTCAATTGATCTGATAGGAGATAAGCCTGCAAGTATGAGGTCGGTGTCTGGGACGTTTAGTTTAAGAACAACCGCCTCTTCCAAGGAGGAGAGAAAGAAAAAGAAAAAGAGGAGCAGCCGTCTGCGGTCTCCGGAGGGGTCGTATGTAGAAGTCACTCGCCAAGCCAGCACTCCTACATTAGCCGATCTTAAACAGGAAGAAGAGCAAGCAGCGCTTGAAGAAGAATCAGAAATTGCGCGAAGACGGCTTGCTGCACAGCAGCTGGCTTCAACACGAGGCTTAAACCAAGCAAAAGACAAGGTAGGTAGCTCATATGATGATTTGTCTCATGCCAGAGTTATAGAAAATGGGCTAACAAAACATTTTATGTAGGCTTCACAAAGTTCACCATCTCCACAACCTCACACACCTTCGTCGGACGCCGCCCATCAAGAGTCCGCTGATAATCATTTAGACTCAACTGTAGAACACTCACTTCCTCAAAGTCAGGATGTACAAACTCAGCACTCGCTGAATCCGGGCTCCCCCGGAACCGACTCACAAACCGAACCATTCCCCCCATTTCCATCTACTCCGGAACTTCATGATGCTAGTCTTGCATCGCATCCGGGTCATTTCCACGACCAAAGCAATGCCTCAAATCTATCTGATCATGAAGATACAGCAGATGCTTTAAGGGATGATGCCTCTATTGATTGATCAAAGGGCGCCAGGTTGCTATGCGTGGAGGAAGCACGGCTAATCGCTAATCCAGGTTTGCAGGCCAAACCTAACCATCTAAAGTCTCATTTCCTTCAGCGATCTCTCTCATATATGAGGACGCAGCCATCTTATGCTTCTTATGGCGACATTTGAACTGTACATTAACATGATGATTCACGAAACTTGAATATATTCCGTATCTGGAAGATGTGACAATTCTTTCGTCTTCGTCTCACTACCACACTAGTAAACTCCTCGCCCGGTACTTTTATCTAGCTATGTCACCTAACAGCACAGCATCAATCATATCCGATATTACCCCCACCCAGAGCATCCGCACCTCCCTGCGCCAAAGCAGTATACTCCAATCGCGCCGACAACCCACCCTGATTCTCATCTGCTCTTGGCATCTCCCCAAGGGAAGGCATACTTTCACACAGCCACGGTGGATTCGCCAGAGACAAAATCTCCTGATCAAAGATCGCCCAAGCATAATCCTCTTCCGGAGCGGGGAATGCAAAATCGGGTCCCATCTCAGGCGGTGTATGCATGCTCTGTAGGCCCGACTCGAGTCGATCAGCCAGTATGCTATGGATGCTTGGCACAGATGAATGGTTCCTTTTCAGGCTATCAATGTGCTTTTCAATTAGCTGCAGGTCTGTACAGATGTAGGTCAGCAATGGATGTGGTTCACTATGAGATGAGTCAAGTATCACTCTTACCGTCTTGGTGTAGTACGCCGTCTTCGATCCCTCGGAGTAGTAGCATGGCTGCGAATGTTACCATCTAAAGGAAGTTAGCTGTGGTGGGTATTAGAGTATGGTGGTTTAGTAGAAGACTTACTATCAGATCCCAGTTGGACCATATACTAGCGTCGTCTAGACGAAGCCGCAGAACTGCACGGGCTGAGACTAGTAGTTCGTGTCTTTCGGCTGGTGCGATATCCGTAGAACCTAGATCGAATCCTCTGGCCGGATGATATATGGATAGGACGTATAGTTTGTGTAGATGGTATTGTAGGAGGATGAGTATGCCCTGGCGGTCAGAAGGGGATGGCTCTGGAAGTGACATTCGCGTCAGCATACTCTCCCTTGAACCGGGCCACTAAGAGATCTCACGAGATGCAGCATTATATCGAACTAGCCAGTCGTCCAATTTCCGGGCCCAAAGGCGGATAACCCGTGCATCTTCATCGGTGAAGGGTGTCCGGATCGGCGAGAGGACCTCACGCTCTTTTGCGCTTACAAAAGACCATATAGTGGGGAGACCTCTTCCGACAAAATGACTGAGTCCGTGATGCATCATTTGGATGAGGCCATGGAAAGCATTTTCTTTGCGGGCGTTGAATTGGGCAAGGGTGGATAGGGGTGGTTGTTCAGGTAATAGGGGACAACACATATGCATGGAAGCGTGCTCAATATCGATTACCTGGAGACCTGAGAACAGTCCAGCCCAGTCGTGAGTCGTGTGTTCGACTTCGCGCGGTGTGTGATCGAGTAAGAGGCGATACGCGATGGCTATCCATGTGCCAGTGGTTGGCACATAAGCTTCTGAGCCCAAGCTGGCCATAATTAGACCGAGAATGTTCTGAAAAGTCAGCGAATCGTCCTTAGTACATAAGGATTGATCAGGGTCTTCTGCGCTGTTCCCAAATATCTCCCATGGAGGAGTGTATGGCACTGGGTTGACAAGCTCGGCGATTGCGCAACACTGGGCGACAAAGTATCCTTTCGTAAACTCCGATAGATCGTTGGACGGGCCATGAAGAGCGGATATGAATAGAACTGATGCAAGTAAAAGGGGAGACGGTGATGCGAAAGCACTCTGATCCTTCAAGAAATGGAGGAGGGGTAGGTTGTTGAGGAATCTTCACGGGTATTAGTCCGCTCATATTTCAAGGCACTGTTCATGAGAAGGTTGCGTACGAATACCACAGATGCTTGATAACTGGCCGTGACCAGAGAGCATCATCCTGAACAGGCCGTGTGATCTGTTTGAGGTGTCTGACGGCCTTCCAGAGAGAGCGCAGAGACATGTTCTCGGACCCTTCATCCTGATCTGTGTCGAGACTACCTTCTGTTACGGAGCTGCTTCCTCTATCTAAGCCCAGGGCACTCTCAATCCTATCCAGGCGGCCAAGGATCGCATCGATGTCCTGGTTTCTATCTGGCGTGTCTTGTTGCAGTCGGACCACGTCATGAACTGCTAATGCTGCCTAGAACCAGTAAGCATGGTCTATGGGCATTTAGTCAACTAAAGTACTTACATTCGATCTTGGTCTGAAGACACAACTAGCCTTTGTGTGTCGGCATCGGCGGCATGGAGGAGTCCCATCCACGACACATTTCATCTTAGCGGCTATCAGCATGTCCAGTCAGATCATACAAGACCTAGTTACCCGTTTCTGACCTTTAATCTGCGGCAGTTGACTGCATAGGACGATCAGCTCTGCTTCGCTCAAGCCTTCAACAACCGATGCCACTTACCGCATGCCTTGGTCGGCTTTGGACCGAGGGTGATCGCTTTTGTTCCCCGCATGATGATGAGTGTGGCATTACTCAAGGTCTAGCAGCACCTGGTGAAACCTAACTCTTCGAGGTTTCTACACCCAGTGCCAATGGGCATGCCTTGTCAAAGGGCCTTAGAAGGATGTACTATAACTAGTCGAAAGCATAATTTGCCGGGTGCCACGTGAGTCGGAGCCATTCCTTTGACTATTTTAGCCTCTGATAAGGAGTGATTGAGCTTATTGGAAAATGGAGATAACAGCGAGATGTGGTCCCAATTAGCTGATCCGAGACCGGTCCATTCCTACTACTACTCTCATGGGATCGACACAGTTGCCCTTCCCATCAAGGAATAAAAGTACAGAGTACACTTCTGACCTGAAATTTCACCCCATTGCAATTGAAACGAGGATACTGTGATTGCATGTTCTATTTGGATCAACCACTGCCGACTCTGTTTCCTCGTTTTTAGTCCGCCCTGCGTAGGCTGAAAAGGATCAGGGCGGGTCTGAAAACGGGAATAGGGAAGTGTACCATGGTAGTAGACCTTCGCCTGCTGCGGGTTCACATTCCTGTTGATCTTGCGCTTGCTCCTTAGATAGGAGGACTGGCCATCTACCGGTCATAGTGCATAGACTGGAGATAGAGCTCGTCTGTTCTTGAGAGCGCGTGATTTGGATAGGCCACAGTGTCTAGACAATTCCTAACAACCAGAATGAGTGAAGAGTGAAGGGGTATTGTACATGTAAGAAAAAATCTATATACAGGCTCTTGTCGTGCGTGAGAGAATCGTGATAATAATACATGGTTATATGGTACACATGTCTGTCAAACCAACACCGACGGTTTTACTAAGGTTTCTGTTTCCAAAGTCAGTAAAAAGCAACAACGTAGGTATCAATCGCGTTCCTAATGTGGAACGTCTGGAAGCGCGTCTAGGCGGATGCCGCGGCATCCTGGGCGTCCATAGCAGCCTGGTCATTTTCACCGGAGACTCCCATGGAAAGCTTCCTCATATCCCAGCCGTCCGATTCCATCCAATCCTTCTTTTCGCCGAGAAGGCACACGGACCGCTGCGAGCCCTGGACCAAGAAGGACTCAGCTGCTTCATTAACATCCTTAGCCGTGACATCAAGGACCTGCTCTCTCCAGCGCTGATCCATCTCATGGGTCACGCCGCTCATGAAATATCTCGCACCCTCTTCATCAACGCTCATTGGAGCATCGAGACCCTGGAAAATGCCCAGTTTCGCCTCGTTGAGCTCCCGCTCCGACCAAGCTCGGTCCCTGGCGAAGACACCACTGTTCTCGAAGACCTTCAGGGTGTTAACAGGATTGGGATCCCGATAACTAGTGAAAGCGAACATTCCCTTCACCGGACCATTCATGGCACTCGCGCCATAGGCGCCGCCTTTCTCACGAATCTCTGGGTGGAGGTAGTTATGCGTCAGAAGCTGAGAGAGAACGCTAAGTGATGCACTGGATGAGCTGGTGAAAGGGACGGTCTGCATAGCCAAGCCTGAGTAATAGACCTTATAAGGCATGTCATAGAAAGCCTTGTGGGCACCCAAGCCGAGAGCTGAAATGCTGGGTGTAGATGTCGGTGAGCGGACTTGTGGTAAGCCCGTAAGCCACTTTTGTAGCACCGACTCATTTTGCTTGGCGCTGCTCTGCTCACAGACCATCCGAACACGGAGACCAGAGGATTTAGAAATAGCAAACGACTGAATTTGGCGAAGCTTCTCAATCAATTCCGCAAGGCGTTCTGGCGAGGTCTCTGCATCTCGCAGCAGATTAGCTGTAGCTTGCAACTGGGCAAGGCCGGATTGTTGTTCTTGAACCCAGAAGCTACGTGAAAGACCTGCTGCAGCGGCATTGAGGGCATAACGATGACCTGAACCAGCCACTGCATCCAAGGCGCCGTTGGTCGTCAGTCGCAGCAGTTCCTGGATCATGGCTGGCGCACTGGGACCAGTGAAGTCGGTCTCAGTGACAAGTGTAGTCATGATCTCCAGCATCTTCGGGATGTTCTTGTCCAAGGCATAACCAGAGAATTGGAGACCCTCGGCGAACTTTCCAAGCTGCGTCGGGGATGATATATGGAAGGAGGATGTGGAGATTCCACCCGTCTTCAACTTGATGATATCCTCCCACTGCTCCATTGACTTGCTGGCTGTGCCGAGACGCATTATGCAGTCATTGAATAGCGGCATCAAGAGACGGAGATCATCTGGCAAATCTTCAAACGCGTTCAACGCTTGGAAGTAGGTTAAACCGTTGGTAGGAGCCTCGCGCCAGACGACGTCTACGCCGTCAACCTTCGACTCTCGAACAGGCTTGCGCTCTTTCTCCCGAGAAATATCAGCAACACGAAGGGAAGGAAGGCATGACAAATCTGCGTTCTGTGCCTCCTCCTGGGTCTTCAACAATTGAAGCTCTTCCTCTGTCAGCTTAGCGACCACCTTCTCCAGGGAGCCATGCTGCTCAATGAGCTGGGTGAACTTTTCCTCCTTCCGAACCATTTCTTGTTCGTCCAACTCTTGGTTCCAAGTAGGACTGCCGACCATGGTGAAGGTCAGACAATTGTCATTCATGAGATACTTCTGCATTAAGGACTCCAGGTAGCCCCCTTCTCATATCTGCTCTTGAATTCATCAATGACCTCGTTCCAGGCGAGTTCCTTCATGGGATTGGAGCCATTGAACCATGAGGAGATGGTTTTCTCCATGACACCGATACCAAAGTTGGCAGTCTTGTGTCTTAGAGCTAGTTCCAATTGGTGAAGGAAACCGCGAACCTTCTCGTCACTGAAGCCCGTGGCGAGACACTCCTGGAAGACCTGTTGAATGGCACCTTTGACTTTAGGTGCTTCTTCTGCACTCACACCGGTAACACCAGCTGAGAACACGGGCACACGACCTGAAGCGTCAAGGCCCGTGTTAGGCGTGAATGAAGACCCCAAGCCACTTTCGATCAAAGCTCGATACAAAGGCGATCCATAACCGTCAAGGAGCAGCGAGGAAAGAATACCGGCCGAAAACGTCTCGACAACGTCAGCAGCGTCCCCCATATACCATGAAGTCGACGTTTTGTGCTGTTTGTCTTCGCTGGCGAATGTGTCGATCGGCCCCGAAACAGTCACGCTCTGAGGACCCTGAGAAAGATCGATCGGTAACTTAACAGCGGTGTCAGCCTCTCCCTTTTGGAAGCCATCCAGCACGCCCCCGATTTGTTGGAGATGAGCGCTTAGTGGCATATCACCGTAGGTGAAAATCTTGGCATTGCTGGGGTGGTAGTTGCGCTTCGAAAATTCGACCAATTGTTCGTGGGTCAAATCGGTGATGTACTGAGGGTCTCCTCCAGAGTTGTTGAGGGCGGGAATGATATTCTCCTTGTATTTGATGTAGTAGAGGTAATTGGCGTCCGAAATTTGGCCCTTCATCTCGTTGTAGACGACACCTTTGAAGAGGATATCCTCTGGCTTCTGCTCCGCCTGTGATTGTTCTCCGCCGGCCAATATGGCGCGAGGATCTTCCGGACCTAGCCGCCATCCTTCCTGTCTAAAATCTTCTTCCTTCAACAACGGATGGAAAGTGGCGTCAAGATAGACCGAGAGGAGATTCTGGAAGTCTTGCGGGTTTGTCGTGGCGAAAGGGTAGGTAGTATGGTCAGCGGAGGTGAAGGCGTTCATAAAATTTGAGAGAGACCGAGGTAGCATCTTGAAAAAGGGGTCGCGGATGGGATATCTAGGTAGAAAGTTCCGGGTTAGTCCACGGGCCCAGTATGTCACGCATTCTACGTATGTTAAGGAACACTCACTTTTCACTTCCGCAAAGTGTAGTATGCTCCAAGATATGCGGCACGCCAGTAGCATCTGGAGGATTCGTCTTGAACCCGATACCGAATACATTGTTCTTGTCTTCTCTAGCCACGTGGATGTAGTCGGCATCGGTTTTGTCGTGCTTCAAGCGGATTGCTGTAAGGTGCAGTTCTGGAACGTGCTTCTTCTCCTGAACAGTAAACCCATGGATCCCCTCACCGATATCCGGAAAGTTCTCAAGGCTTGTGACAGTCGAAGCAGATCTTCTTATCTGGCTCCAGCGGAGTAGAGGGCTATCCGATCTCAGTAAACGTCCGGGTTTCTGCAAGGCCGGAGCCGACCTCCGGCCTGCCCTTAACGATGAACGCAACATAGCGTTACTATGAAGATGGTAGCCAAGCCTAGAAACAGCAAAAGACTGACGGTCACCGGCTTGACTCTCACGGCGTGACGTACTTTAGCGAGTCCGCTGCCGGGGATTAGGGTACCAAAGGTGGTCGGAATTGGCGGTCCCGAGCGGACCGGCGTTAAGCGCAAAAGACTAGGATACGCAACCAATTGGCCAAACCGAGCACGATATCAGATAGATAAAGCGAGTGACGTGCTGTGGAAGCATTCGAGGATGGAATGCAAAAGTGGATGGAGAAGGGAGAAAAAAGAAAGGAAAGCAAAGCGACAGATCGGGCCTGCTATTCGGAAGGCGGACCGTGAATTAGAAAGGCGCCAAGAGAAGTTTTCAAAAGAGGCTAGTGCAGGTCAAGTGCGCATCCCCCCTCTTACGACTATTCAATCCTCCCCGGCAAGATCCTCAAGCCGTCCGGCGTTCATTAGTCGACTCCGTCGCCAAACTGCCTTTTGACTCTCAAGACACCCTGCAGGCTACATACGCCGTGTGATTTCGGTCAGCTTGGCAGAACCGGGCTAGTAGAGGGCCTGAGGGATCCATTACCCACCGAGTTCTCCAAGTCTGGGAAAAGGCCACCCAGGTTCTCCGCTACACTGGACAGTCGAATCACTGAGTCACTGTCGATTACAACACTCCCCTGTCTATCCGCAGCTTCGTCTTCGAATCGGACTCGCTCCTGGTCGACTCGTTGCCACCGCTCCGTGGCCTGCATAGCGAATCCATTTCCCGCCAGTCCTAGCCAACCGTTCCGGCTTCGCAATTTTCGTTTTCGTGGATTAGCCACGCGACCACCGCCAACGCAATCGCTCTACGATAACTCGAGTCGATCCCCATTCTAAAAGCTCGGAGCAATGTCTGCTGCAGCAATGTCGAAAAAGAACAAGGGGAAGAAGGTCGCAGACCCCAATGAGACATCCAAGCTCTTGGCTGCCAAAATATCGCAGTTGGAGCAAGATGCCGCTGGAGAAAAGGATCAGGAGGCCGAAATCGGTGCGTCTTTCTCATGAGTGCTGGATTACTTGGAGTAGTAGTTGTTTCATGAACGGGGGGCTAATGACCGTTTGCCTATAGAGCGCGAAGTCAAGAAGGCTACGAGGGACCTAAACCAACTCCTTAGCAACATCGAATCTCCGATGACACGGCTCGAGACGGTTCATAAGAAATACACCGAACTACTGGCCGATATGAAGAAGCTAGATCGCGACTACTCCAAAAGCAAAAAGCGGGCCGATCAACTGCAGAAAGATCAGGACAAGGGCAAATCCGAGTTGAACAAAACCGTTACTATGAAGGATAAATTAGAAAAGCTGTGTAGGGAGCTTACCAAGGAAAATAAGAAGGTCAAGGTAGGTTGGTCCAAGCTCTACAGCACTACTATCGCGCTACATCACGTAGGGAGATGACTAAACGAGATGGTTCATAGGATGAGAACAAGAAGCTTGAGGAGACTGAAAAGAAAGCGCGGCTTATTGTCAACGAACGCCTCGATTCTCTGCTATATGATATTCAAGACGTCATGGCCGCCAAAGGAAATCCCCGCAGTGAGAAAGCGGACATTGACCTAGACGAAGCGTGAGTTGCGGCTGTCTGCTTGATGTAGTCGGTTATTTCTGACTCTCTATAATAGTTTGCGCGCAAAGATTAAAACTATTGGCGAGAAGTTTGAACTGCGCGAATTACATTACAAGGCACTCCTTCGCAGCAAGGATGCCGAGATACAATGCCTTACCGCCAAGTACGAAGAGCAGCGCCGTACAGCCGAGAATGAAGCCGCTCGTTGTCGTGCTCTGAGCTCCCAGGTCTCTACCTTCTCGCATACCGAAGCCGAACTACGCAGTCAATTAAACATTTACGTGGAAAAGTTCAAGCAGGTATGGACCGATGTCGATGGCTTGCTCGGCCTCAGCCTCGTTTTGACCGCTGGTAATAATAATATCGCAGGTGGAGGATACGCTGAACAACAGCAACGAGCTTTTTCTTACGTTTCGCAAAGAAATGGAAGAGATGTCGAAAAAGACGAAACGGCTAGAGAAGGAAAACCACACCCTCACACGGAAGCACGATCAAACGAACCGCAACATACTCGAAATGGCGGAGGAGCGCACAAGGAATCATGAGGAGTTAGAAAAGTGGCGAAAGAAAAGCCATCATTTGGAAGCACTCTGTCGTCGCATGCAAGCCCAGGGTCGCGGGCAAGGTCTTGCTGCGGATTTGGATGGCGATGACGAGGGGACGGAGAGTGAATATGATGAGGACTATGAGGATGAAGAAGATGATGAAGGAATCAGTGACGATGACTACGAGCTCGACAGTCCGGATGGCGACATGAACGGAGACCGCAATATTCCCCAGCAACCCGAAAAGCCAGTATTCGGACCTCCTCCGCCCCCGAATTTGCTGGAAGCGCGAGCCAACGGGAATAAGGCAATGATCAATGGATGCCACTAATGCAATTTTCATCAATGTCATGTTTTCGTTGTTCATGTTTCCTTGGGCTTGTGACCAACAACGATTGCGAAGTCTTCGCCATTTGCGCTGGCAATGCCGCAATCGTCTCGGGTGTTCTTTACTTCTCTGTTCAGCTGCGTGGTAGTTGGCCTTGATGAGTTGAAAATATGCCTCCCTGAGAGCGTGCACTGACAATTGTGCAGTGTGGCGCTGGTCGCTCGGGGTCTCTCCTGTCTCCGTATGCAGATCTTGTAGCGGTTCGGCTCTTTGAAGATAGGTTGCCCTGCTCATTTAGGTTACTGTCCGCCTAGAATTGCAACATGCACCATCACAGCTGTGGAGATTTTGCAAGTCGTGGTCCTAACTTTTGTTCGCTTTTCCATTTCGTGTACTTGTACATGCTAGATCACTAACATCTAAACGTACTTATTACGCTATCATGAAAATTATTTGCAATACCAATATCATGTCACATATACCAGCATCCTTGGGAAAGATAAAGCAGAGCCGATGCCTCAATCAAAGTCTACTCGGCGGACCGTTAATATAGGATCCTCCCTTCTTCAGCATATCCACAGCCTGCTGGACCATCTCCCGGACAATCACACCAGCAGGTTTGATCTCCTGAATAATCGCCGAAACATCGCCCATCAAAAACGGCACATCGACATCTTTATCGTTCTTGAAGTCATGCTCAATAGGAACGATACCTTGAGCCGTCAATCTAGCAATGTCTTCAGGGCGCTTCTCCCACTCCTTGATATATTCATTAGGAAGCATGCGCAGTGGCCTCCCAGAGATGACTAGCGTCCGTTTCGTCTCTCCATACTGCGCACCAACAACAGCCTCCTTATGCAAGCGACTCGCACCACTTTCCTCCGAAGCAACAAACCTAGTTCCCACCCAAACCCCCGCGGCGCCCAGCATCAATGCCGCAGCCAAGCTCCGGCCATCATTGACACCACCGGCAGCAACAACCAACGCAGGCTGTCCCGTCAACGGGCTCTTATACTTTCTCGCCACATCCACCACCGCCGGTACGAGGACTGAAAACGGAATATCGCCCGTATGGCCGCCTCCCTCACCTCCTTGTGCACAAACGATATCCACGCCCAGCTTGAACGCCTTCTCAGCGTGCTTGGGTGCCCCGACCATGTTCATGATCAGGATGCCTGCGTCGTGGAGCCGCTTAATGACACGCTCCGGTGGCACACCAACTGCACAGACGAACAGCTTGGCACCATGCGAGATAACCACGTCGATGAGCTGGTCCAGCTGTCCGTGGGTGTAGTCATGGTTCGTGGCCCGTGCTCCTCCGCCGACCTGCGGCAAGGCCAAATCAACGCCAAATGGTAGCGAAGGGTCTTTGAGAAGTGATTTGAGTTCGGTCAGGATTTCGGATAGTTGCTCGGGGGTATAGCCCAGTCCGCCGACTGTTCCCAGACCGCCTGCGTTGGAGACTGCGGCGGCCAGAGGTGCTCCGGATGCACGAGCCATGCCTGCCAGCAGGACTGGGTGCTGAATCTTCAGCAATGAGCAAAGGGGAGTCTGGAGAGACATGGTTTCCGGAGCGAGAAAAAGGGACTGTATAGTGGTAGTTTGAATGGAGCTATCGCATAGAAAATTAACCGTCTAGCAATTGAGCAATGGGATGCGGTCAGCAACATACTCTTTGGCTCATAGACGGACAAGCCTACCTAATGGACTGTAAAGTGGGTTGATTTCAGATAGAATGTTTCCTCTATAACCTGAAATCGTAGCATCATGGACAAATCCATTGCTGGAGAATTCCTTCCCTTAGCATAAGTATCCTAGTGCAGAGCATATGATCCGCGGTGAAAGCAGGGAGACTGGCTTGTGCCTGAGGAGCTCAAATGCGGGGAAGCGGAGCTCCAAGGCGTTAGACCCGGCCGGACCGAGGCATTGGCCTCTGCTCGCTCTTGCCACTCGGGCCACATTGTGCATCTTCCTGTCTTCAACTTGGCGCTAACCCCAGTGATAATGGCTGATCATAAGAACTGAGTTCCTGAATTATGCGGGGTTGTGTCGTGTGCATATTTTCGAGCTAGCACAAGTAAGTTGCTGCTATAGCCACTAAGAGACGTGTTGGTGGCCGTGGTTTGTTTACGCTCTTCATTTGACAGACACTATTAACAGATGCTGTGAATTTTGGACTTGGGCTCAAAGCTCTATAACTACTACAAGAAATCGCTAATGAAAGACACATAAATCACATGCCTGCAATGAGCAAATGACGTTATTGGATATCAGAATAAAGCAGACCAAAGACCCTAATCTGACACAGCAAGTATGTTCACAGATGCAGTATACCCAGCAAAATTGAAAGCAAGAAGCCGACTGAAGTTAAGGTCATATCCTTATTTGCTGTCGCAGCTTGTGTTGCTTCCATGATCACCTGTGTTCCAGTCACCGTCCCCGACATAATCGCAATGTTCTTCCGTGGCCTATCAAGGAATCGATCAGCTACACAACTCTTTGCCAAGTGCACCACATGAACCGCTTACTCGTTTATGCCATTGCTTCCATCTTTCGATGATTCTTGTTTGATTTCTGTCGGTATACTCGTACCGGTTACTGTCGTTGCCGCCGTTTCTTCATTTGATGGTGCGGAAGTTGTCAAGACCCGGTAGGGATAGGTGACAGCAGGACCTGGGGGTGGCTGATAGTAGCCTACCGCGCCTTGAGGCGCTGTTGCAAGAGATCCTGGAAGGCTCCTTCTGAACAAGTTCGAGTGCAGGCCGCGTAAAAACGCGTCGAGATACGCTGAGGTGACGATGCTCGCTATCAAACCGGCGAGTAGAAATCTGCGCAGCAGGTGGCCGAAAGGAAGTAGAACTCGCATTTTGACAAAAGACCACTGTTCGAGTATGAGAATTATCTGCAATTAGCTGCTTTGAATATGGGTCAAACAGTATGGGCAAAGAAACCCTGCCAAACAGGGAAACCAAGCCCATACATATTGCACTGGACCAAAGCGTCAACCTGGATGGGGCGCATTCCCATCCATTCGGCATGCCACACACAATGCCACATCCCTCGCTGACAATTTTCATCTTCCGGTATCCCGATGATGTTTTGAGTCATTCGGCTTTAGTCGGATTGAAGGACACTGCTGCCACGGAGTAAACTTCCGGGAATCCAGATTGTAGAATGAAGGAAGGAATGCTTGAGCGCTTGAACGAAGGGATGGCGCGCTGGCGAAAAATGGACCAGACCATCCCTCTATCGAGTTTCAGGTTTAGCACACCTTTATTGGCGCAAAAATTGTCCGCGATAATGAAAGCGAAACGTAAGCCTTCCTGTCTCGTGCAAAGACCTTCTTATCAGCCAAGACGATAGTCCTCAACAGGCCGGTAGTGTCGAAGCAAACCGTCCAAGATCTGCTAATTTTCAAGCGTATAGAAGATAAGCCCCGTATAATGTGGACGAAGGCGACTGTCTGGATATCCCTATCTCTGTTACGTTCTCCAGACATGGTCGATTAGTATGTTCTTTTACAGTGGAGACCGGAAGGCGCAGACTAGGATACAGAAGGTTTACAGGAATCGCGAGTCCAGTCAATTCTCGATCCAGCTATGATGGTAATAGTGCCCTGATCTCATCGTGCAGGAGTCAGTTAGTTGCGCAGTAATTCTTCATATAATATCATGAAATCGAGTTCAGTTGAACATCTCTAGCTTGCTGAACAACGGCCTGAACATCTGCCATTGTAGGTTCAAAAATATTGGATGATGCAGTGATTCTATCAAATTAGACCACGATTGACATTAAAATGAAATTGGCACCATTGAACCATAAGAATAACAGCTTTTGATCTCAGTGAGTTGTGAAGGACTTTGGCAAGTTGCTTGCTTTCCAGCGGTGGAGAACCCCAAAGCGGTACTGTAATTACGCAACGCCAAAAGACGCGTGATCGCGTAGGCGGAAGAAGCACAGGACAAAAGCTCCCAGCACCACCAACTGCATCAAACAACATCACTCAATTACGTTGTCACTGTCGCTCATATGAGCTTACACTTAATATAAATATTCAAGTGTGGTTAGATAAACGAAGGCCAGAATGGCAAGCAGCGACGAGTTCCTGCGCCCTCCCAGGTCCGTTCTCCCGCATGTTAATCTTCTCGATTGTTGAGTTTATCAAAAATGGAGTCTAACTGTCAATGCCGCACCTTTAGCAATGAAGAATTTGACGCAATCACTCGTGTACCCTCGCATTATAATTCTCTAGATACATTTCGACTGGGAAGCGGCCAGGATCGGCATTACCAGCAGCAATATGGCGACATGTACTTCTTGCGACTGGCGAAACTCAAGCCCGCGGTTGAAGAGATTGCAGTCGAAGCATGGGAAGGTTTCAGTGTAAGACCGATCGCATCCATCGCAGTTCGAAATCTCGGATGGGGGATCTAATAATATGCACATGGGAAACTGGTTCGCTGACATGTCTTGGTTCGGTGACCAGATCGCTGGAGAAAATGCGCGCCGCGTGGAAAGAGTCCTCGACGTGAGGCAGGGAGAACTTTGCTGGGTCGCAGGAACGATATATATGGACATGCCATTGAAGCCCAATATTTTGGACGATCTTACGAAAGAGGTGATATACTATACTGCCATGTTGCGTACGGCTCACATTCTAATCCTGGCAATAGAACTATACGTTAGCACCACCTCCGCGACCGACCTACCAAGATCCTGCTCATCCGGAGTTAACACAAATCATGTTGGAAGATGAGTCCGGCCGACTGCGCCTGACTGGAAGCATGCTCCGGAATACGCAGCTATGTACAGGAGCTATCATTGCAGTCCTGGGAACTGAGAACGCCAACGGAGACTTCGAGGTTATAGATACCAAAGTGCCTGATTTACCACAACAGCCTCGCAGATGGGGAAACGATACACTGGACGCACCAAAGGGAGCCAGCAAGGGTAAGATTGCATTTGTGAGTGGTCTAGGGATTACCGGAACTTCGAGTGATACTCTTGCTTTGGAACTTCTGGCAGATTATTTGCTTGGTTATACCGGTGGTACTTCTGGAGCACTACCTGATGCTTCTGCAATCACAAGGTTAATTATTGCGGGAAATTCTGTCGGAGCAAGTATGACTACGGATGTCAACGCCGATAGTTCTACAAAGAAGAGAACCGGTCCGAAAAAGTACGGATATGATGCTTCTGCTTATAATGCATCGCCTATTACACGGCTTGATTCTTTCCTAGCGGAGATCCTGCCTAGTATGCCCGTTACACTAATGCCAGGCGAATCTGACCCGGCAAATTTCTCTCTCCCTCAACAGGGAATCCACCGTGCGATGTTCCCGCAGGCTAGGGCATACTGTGCTCCGCCTCCTGCCGGTGATAGCAAGCAAGAGCCAAGTTGGTTCGACAGTGTAACGAACCCGTGGGAAGGGGACGTGGAGGGCTGGCGCCTATGGGGTAGCAGTGGGCAGAACGTGGATGACATCCTCCGGTATCTGAACTTCGCCGATGAGGAAGGAAATGCGGCCGATGGTGCTGGAGATATAGAGGCGAGGATGAGAGTTATGGAGGCTATGCTGCGCTGGAGATGTGGAGTTCCCACTGCGCCCGATACTCTATGTAAGCTCCTATTTGGCCCCTTAATCCTACTGGTGCAAATGCTGATTTCCGGGAACAGGGTCCTATCCATTTCAAACGCACGATCCATTCGTTATACAAACTTGCCCACACATCTTCTTTGCCGGCAACCAGCCACAATTCAAGACAGCTGTAATTGAGGGTGATGCCCCACTGAAGCTGAACGGAGCCGACACAGAGATGACAGGCACAGATGACGATAACTCATCTGGCCCTCGTGTGCGCCTTTTATCTATACCCAAATTCAAGGAAACCGGAGAATTGGTTTTGGTCGATACCGAGACCCTGGAGGTGGAGGTGGTGAAGTTTAGTACATTTGCTGGACAACAAGAGCAACAATGAGCGGCTGATACCAATAGCATATATTAATGAGATATAAGTCTTATGAGCTACTGCTTTGTTATTTCTTCCTTTTCTTATGATTTTACTAACACCGTTATGCTGGCTAAACTGGAATTCAGGGCTATCTGAGATTCTTGCCTAAACGCGGGCGGTGCCAAGATCCGCGCGGAAAAGTCCCAACTCTTCAATTCAATCCTCTACTACCAAGTATCGGGATCTTGAGAACCAGCTACCTCAATAATTTATATTGACGTACACCTAAGCGCACTCATCAGGCTACGGTCAACTGGTGGGCCAGGTATTTCGACATGCTCCTCAACGCCAAGACAGGTATATCGGAGCATTGATTGCATGCGCCACCACACAAGCAGGCTAATTAAATCCCCTCTATAGCCATTTCCACGTCCACGGTGCTTTTGGTTCCATACTCCAAATGGCACGTTCCAAGATACCACGAATGGATGAAAGATGAGGTAAATACGTATTCCTCTTAGACAGCCAAACCCCAACCGTAAATATTCGAATATTGTACCTACAATTACTGACCTGCCATATCAGGAAATCCAAGAAGCAACCGCATCCGAACCCCTCTCTATAGAGGAAGAATACGCCATGCAGCAAAGCTGGCGCCAAGACCCAGACAAGTTGACCTTCATTGTCTGTCTCCCATCATCATTACAAGGGGAAACCTCAACACCCACCATTAAAGACACAGACGACGCTCCGGACCGAATGGTCGGGGACATCAACCTCTTCCTCCGTGTCGACGACGGCGAAGAAGGCGACGCGGAGCCCCAGATCATCGGGGAAATCGAACTAATGATAGCCGAGAAGAATAACCAGCGCAAGGGCTTTGGGAAAGCCGCGCTTAACACCTTCCTACGGTATATCGTTGACCATGAAGCGGAGATCTTGGAAGAGTTTGTCAGCAGGGATGAGACTGCCGCGACGGCAATGAAGGAAGTTGAAGCAGTGCCTAAATTTGCTTGTCTCAGTGTGAAGATTGGTCAGGCTAATGAGCGGAGTTTGGCGCTGTTTGAGGGTGCTATGTTTAAGAAGGTTACTGAGGAGCCGAATTATTTTGGGGAGTTTGAGTTGAGGAGGGAGAGGGAGGCCCTGGGTCGGGATATGGTTAATGTGAGTTTGGAGAGGGCTGGGGTGTCGGGGTATGCTGAGGTGGGTTATGAGAGATTGGAATGATCACTGACTACTAGTGGCCCTGTCTTGGATGTTGTTATAGATAGGTTGCGTGGGTTAGAATACTGTGTGTAGTTCTTAGATCAGACTATCCAACTATGACATCAGAGCACAGGGGCAGTCTGATTGGGTTGTAGATCCGTTTGAACATACATCTCAAATAGATCTCCATACTCTTAGTATGGTTGCATGTGTGTATGCTGTCATAGCAATCGGTGAGGGCTTCACAGCATGGTCCGTATGTTACACGATAGCTTACAGCATGCATAGCAACGTCAGCAACGCATACAACCCGCCCAATACTACCTACGAACTACAACCAAAGAGTGGACAGCATTCCACTAAGGCTAGCAATGCCCGTCCACACAATACAGCCTAACCAGAGCACAAGCATTCATATCACATTATCGGGCGAAAGTCGAGGTATCATGGAATTTTCAACTGTTTTTCTCCATTACGTTGTATAGGATGCAAAGGTGCTCCGACCAAGCAAAAACCCTTAGCAGAAAAGTTCCAGTCATGTAGGTCATCCGGTTTCAGTGAACCGTGAAGACATCCATCACAGTCCACTGGTAACCAGACGCGAAGAGACAATTAATCTGGTATAAAGATCAATCACCCCACCGTGTCGGCCCACAGAAGCAATCCTTGCCCATGCCAATTTCCTAATCGTAATCGACATTTGTATTCATGCTCCGACCATATTCCATGCGCCGACGACCTCCTCGCCGAGTTCCAACCTCAATGTGTTGACGAAGGTATTTACAGAGCCTTCTTCTTGTCTCCCTTGGAGACATCGACAACCTTGAGAGCTGTAGGAGAAAACAATTGATGTTAGTACTTGATCCATATGATGTCATGCAATATCCGAGGTCCACATCAGACATCCATCTTTAGTCGTAGGAAACAATCGAATCCGACGACATGTATCTTATTCCACAACACCATCCAAGGAAATAGTCGACTAGGTGACGGGAGCAAACGCACCAGGGGGCAGGCTCTGCTTGAGCTTGTCGGCCTTGTCGGAGTCCTTCAGGACAAGGGTGTAGACGAAGCGGGAGCAGCGGACCTTGAACTTGATCTGCTGGTCCTTGGGGTTGCGCTTGATGCGAGCAGCTGTTCAACAGACAAGACCATCATGCGTTAGCCTCGACTTCATATCATTCATCCATCCCAATGAACCATTCCAATGTGCCCTTTCGATGATGGTCGGGTACCCGTCTCGAGCTTCCCCCCCTCCTCAAAGAGCTAGCTCCGCGGAGCTTTCCACCTCATGATAACTAAGCGGCTAAAGGTCGGGTAAACGTACAGGACGCATCCTTGCGGCGGCAGACCTCGATGAACTGCTTGATGTCGGAGATTTCCTGAGGCATGGTGGCTAGTGGGGTTTGTGACTTTGGTTTGAGTAGTCGTGGATGACGGAAGGTTTGGATGACAATCGCGGGTCTCGAAGCTCGTCGGCGGGCGGTGCTGGCCGGGGGGGAGTAGTCAGCTAGCTTCTGTGGGCTGTAGGGTTGCCCCCCGGAAGCCCTTAGTTCCAGTGCCACGTCGTGGCGGGATATCCCGCAATGATACATGTGGCGGTGCACCGATAAGGCGGCTGCCTACGGAGTACGGGGGATCGACATCTATCTATAGTGTTTTAGCCACCCTCCGTCTTATATCTACTGGGATATCTGGCAACAAGCTTGTTGTTCTTTTTGACAGATATCATCGCCTCCTTTCGCCTTCGTGACTACTAGCAATACTTTTTCTCGTGTATACACAGCAGGCGAACTCTAGTCCAGAACAAAATGCCGACGCCTTTGGATCGCGCATTAAACTCCAAGGTACTATATATCCAACCCCAGACATGTTATCGGCGTCCGTAAGCTAATATGGTCTCAGAACCTATTTCTAGGTATATCCTTCTGAGCTGAACATTGTTGACGGAAAGTCCGATCTAACTTTATCAGGGTTTGCCGGAATGGTGACTGCAGCGGCCGCCTGGGCGATCTGGGGTGGCGATATGTTCCCGGCTGAAGCTGACCCAACTGGAGGCACGGGATCGAATTCTTTTGTGGTTGTAGGTATACCAAACTGACGTCTAAAAGATCCGGAAAACTGGACTGCAGATGAAATGCGGACATGGCTTCGAGTTGTATGTTTTCTTCTTCCCTCGTAAACAAAACAGTCAATGTCGCCAAAAAGAGCAATGGTTTCTAACTGTCACTCCAAGAGGGGCCTTTTGCCCAGCGAATGCGCATCGCGCGACGAGTTACTTGACCGCATTAAAGCAAATATGCGTGTACCGCGAAGATCTGCGGCCCAGTGATGAGATAGCAGTCGCTTTGTTTCGGGAATTCTTCGCATGGCGTGTCGTGGGGTATTTTCTTGGGTTTCCTTCCGTTTTCCTTCTGCGGCTCAAAATGTGTAATCGCGTGGTTGGATCATAGCGAATAATGTGTTTATCATGTCGTCACACCGCAATAGCAATTCTAGTAATCATCGTCAAGGGCATAGTATAAGGCGTCCTCTTCTATCAAATAAACTTTGGTGTTGATCTTTCATACGACGAGCCGGAAGTTCTGGGTTTGGATAAGCCACTCTCGCTTGCGCTTTCCCTTGGGCCCGTCGGCGGATGGATTGGGCACCAGCACAAAGGTCTCGCTGAAGCCTCGTTGCGGCAGATCTCTGGACTCTCCAAAGCGCACATAGCCGCTAACGACCACCAAGATAGACATGTCCTTGACAGTCGTTTCAGTGGGGAGCTTCACTCCAGTGGATGTAGGTGTCGGATACGCCTTGTTGATAATCTGGCAATCAACAGACTGCACTTCATAATGCGTCGGGGACATTTGGTTGACGAAAATTTCCTGGACAGCGGCTCCATCGGCGACAGCATTTCCGTTGAAAAGGATCATGGCCGTGGGCTGGCTGTAGAACGAGGCTATCGTAGAACGGTTGTTCTCGAGGGCAGGGTAGAAGGACTGAACAAAGTCGGTTGCCGCTGCAGATTGATCTAAGTTAGTATTTTCAGGCGAGATACTGCTTGCATATCGACATACCATCCGTAGAAACCTTTGTCAATGTGTCTTCTGAAGGAGGAGCCATTGTGATTCGGGGCTGTTTTTGATGGATTTCAACAACAAATTCGGTAAGAATAAGTCAACACACTGTATAAGACCCTATAAAAAGAAACACAGGTTCCTAAAATTGTTGAGCAGTCCAAGAACGAGTTATAAGATGGTGGTTGAACAAAGGGAACGACAGTAGATGCTATGTAAAGAATGCGCGATCGCGGAGAAGAGGAGCAGGCATCGGACGGCAGAAAAAAGGCACGGAAGCTTGGACCACCCGGAGATGATGATCGAGCACCGACGAAAACGCCGCCTGGAATAAACCATCGTTGCTCCCTTCTGCAGTCCCACGCCAATGGCTATCTCGAGGGCAGGTTTTCGTGCCGCTTCTTGGGCCGGCCAATTTCTGGCCTGCAGTCGCCCATCTTGGAGATGCGTCCCCCGCACAACTGCCCGCCCAGTGACAACGATCCGTCCGCGTCAATTCGCAACGGCGGCCTCGGAAAGCGCCCCTAAGAAGCCATACTATGTCACGACTCCCATTTTCTATGTCAACGCTGGTACGCCCTCTCCGGATATCTTACTGTGCTTTTTCGTCCACTGGGTCACTGCTAATGTCTTGGCTCATATAGCCCCTCATGTCGGTCATCTGTATACTATGGTCCTTGCCGATGTCATCAAGAGATGGCGGACACTCATCGGAGACGCTGATGCACAATTGCTGACCGGAACGGACGAACATGGCATGAAGGTATGGGTCATTTATTACTGCTAAGCACAGTATTGCGCTAATTCTGTATAGATCCAGCAGGCCGCGTTGGCTGCAGAGATGGATACGCAGGCGTTCTGCGACATGAATTATAAGACGTTTGAGGTAGGCAACAATCACTACTTGTCAGGTTTTGATCTGAGGTCGACTCTAACCTCCAAGTTTAGGCTTTAGCAAATGCCGCGAATATGGACTACAACTACTTTATACGGACGACCGAACCTGCGCACAAGGAAGCTGTTCAGTATTTTTGGGTATGTGGCTAGGAAATGCGTCCACGCGCATAGATTAAGGCTGACATGTGTATAGGAAGTGTTGGAGCACCGGGGATATGTCTACACCGCGAAGCATGAAGGCTGGTACTCGGTTAGCGATGAGACATTTTACCCTCAGACGCAAGTACAAAAGTCGCTGGACCCTGAGACTGGACACACGAAGATGGTAAGCTGCACGCCAAACCACCTGCCAAAACGATCGAAGCTCACCCAGACAGGTCTCCATTGAGACAGGAAAGGAGGTGGAGTGGTCGTCGGAAACCAACTACCATTTCCGTCTGTCAGCTTTCCAGGAGCGTTTGCTCGATCTTTACAAAACTGGATTTATTACCCCGACGATGTATACAACCAATGTCGTCAAGTCTGTTTCGGAGGGCCTTCAAGATTTGTCAATCTCTAGGCCTGCGGAGCGGCTGACCTGGGGTATTCCGGTTCCCGGCGACAACACACAGACCGTCTATGTCTGGCTAGATGCGCTTGTCAACTACTTGACCAAGGCAGGCTACCCGTTTGCACCCGGTCAAGGAAGCCGCCTTGGTTGGCCTGCGGATGTACATGTGGTCGGTAAGGACATTGTTCGGTGCGTATTTGCCTTCAAGCTTGCCATGTACGCGACCCCATGACTAACCGTGCAACAGCTTTCACTGCGTATACTGGCCCGCATTCCTTATGGCTCTCGACCTCCCTCTTCCCCGCAATGTACTCGTTCATGGACACTGGACTATGAACCGTGAGAAGATGTCGAAGTCTACGGGTAATGTGGTGAACCCCTTCTTTGCCATCAACCGCTTCGGGGTGGATTCCATGCGTTTCTTCCTTATCCACCAAGGTGCATTGGTGGGCGACGCCGACTACGATAATGCGTACATCATCCGCGACTATCAGAAGCTACTGCAGAAGGGGCTTGGAAACCTTGCGCATCGGGCAATTGGCTGTGCCAAGGGTAATCTTCGGACTTACATCGAGAATGGCACGTGTGGCCGACTTCCACCAGCGACTCCGGCCGATGAGGCGTACGAAACAATGCTCAAAGATGTGCCCAAGAGAGTAGCAGAGCAAATGGAGAATCTGAATCCCCGTGCTGCCCTGCAAGAAATCACTACCCTAATCGATCAGGTAAGAGATAAAGATAGACCCACCCTATGATCGGTGGTGATTTCCAGACTTGTTCTAACCCGGTCCACCCAGACCAACAAATACTTCCATCACGCAGAGCCATGGAAGAGTCCGAACGACCGCCAGCGATCGATTTTCAATGTTGCTGAATCACTGCGAATGGCCGGGATCCTCCTGCAGCCTGTCATGCCCACCAAGGCCAACGAGCTTCTGGACATGTTCCATGTAGACAATACGGACCCGGCCAAAAGGAACTATGCGGCGGCGACGTACGGCTCCGACGCAGACTACGGAGTGGATGCGAAGAAGAGTATTATATTTCCCCCTCTTATCGTGGAAAGTTAATGTGGCTGTCCTTTCCATTTGATAACGAGAATGGGCTAGGATCCAATCATGGACACTAGATTGGAACGTTCGGTCAGCCAGAACACGCACAATTAAGCACGGGTCTCCGCCTGGTGGAGGAGACTGTGGAAATCGAGCGGGTTTGGCTTTGCCGTTTGCTGCTTGAATTGGACTGCGTTATGGACGGCTCTGGGTCCCAGACCGTCATTTACACGCATGCAGGGGTGGAGAGAAGGTTTGTGTTATGTCATGGTATGGCGATAACTGGAGCAGAATATGCGCGAGTTTATCAACGGGAAAAGGGTGCCGACTGGGCGAAGGGTTGGTCGAATTCCTGATAGATAGACTCGGGGCGGGAAACTCTTGTGTGTAGGTTTCCCGCGGCAAACTGGGGCGGACTATATCGGAAAGCGTCCGTGTTGTATATCACGAACTATGGGTTTCAGCGCTGTATCATGGGAGGAGTATATGAGGTCTGTACCATATTCTAGGGGCTTTCTTTCTTTTTTCCATTGTAGTATACATTTATCATCCTATACCTAATCTTGTCTCCTCTCCTCTTACCTTCTACTATTTATTGAAAACAACCTCCTCTCATCCCAACAACTGACAGATCATATCATATCTTAGCTATACTACTACTTACCCTTCCTTATAACATCCCTATCATCATCCTAATAACCATCGTCATCATCATCTCCACCAATTGAACACCACCACCACACCCCGAAGGGAAACCAAAAACCAACAGACCATCACAATGGGCAGCATCCTCCCTCCCACCACGCCTTCAACCTACAAAACCCCCTGGAACCCGACCCCTCTCATCGAATCCACGACCCTCTCCCGCGCCGCAGGATGTAGAATCTTCCTGAAACTCGAAAACATCCAACCCAGCGGCTCCTTCAAGTCCCGCGCCATGGGCAACCAAATCCTCTCACACCTCCTCAAGCCCGAGAACCACCACCGTCCTGTGCACTTCTACGCTTCATCGGGCGGAAACGCCGGCCTAGCTGCCGTCTGCGCGGCCCGGAGCCTAGGGTACCCCTGCACGGTAGTGGTGCCTGTGTCGACGAAGCCGCTGATGGTGCAGAAGCTGCGGAATGCAGGAGCAGCGGATGTGATTCAGTACGGAGAGACATTCTCAGAGGCGGGGCAGTACATGAAGGATGTTGTGATGAAGACCAAGAACACCGATGGTGAAGACAGCGAAGGTGTTGATGATGTTGTGAAGATCGCCCTGCATCCATTCGACAACGAGCCCATCTGGCAAGGGAACAGCACTATCATTGATGAATTGGTGGAGCAGATCCCGCCGCCTGTCGGGGAGGAAGAGGAGGAAGTGCATGCAGGTCGTGCGTTGCCGGTTGATGCTATTGTCTGTAGTGTTGGCGGTGGGGGGTTGTTGAATGGATTGGTTATGGGCATTGAGAGGCATAGGGCTAAGGCCAGGATGTCTTCTGCTGCTGCTGCTGCTGCTGATGATGGTGCTGCGAAGCCTGTTCATCTTGTGGCTGTTGAGACCAAGGGCACGGATTCTCTGGCTACGGCGCTGGAGAGTAACGAGTTGGTCTCGTTGCCGAAGATCACGTCGCAGGCTACGTCGTTGGGGGCTATTAAGGTCTCTGAGAGGACGTTTCAGTATGCGGTGCAGCCACCGCCGGGCGTGAAGGTGCATAGTGCGGTGTTCTCGGATGCGGAGGCCGCCAGGGGCGTGTTGAGGCTTGTGGATGATGAGAGGTTGTTGGTTGAGTTGGCTTGTGGTGTTTGTGTGGAGGCTGCGGTTGGGGGGGCTAGTTGTGCTTCTTCATCTTCTTCTTCGAAGATAGTGGCTGCGGGTCAGAAGAGGAAGAGAGGCATGGATGCTGGGTATGTGAGTAAGGATGAAGGCTATGGGGATGATCGGTTGTCTGCTGGGGAGAATGAGGATGATGGTCCGGTTTCTTCGCCGTCGCTGTCGGCCTCTGCTGGGGGGCTGCAGTCTAAGTTGAAGGAGTTGGTGCCGGACTTGAATGAAGACAGTCGCGTGGTTATCATTGTTTGCGGTGGCAGCAATGTTACTATCGATATGGCGGCAGAGTGGAGGAAGATGTTGGCTGAGGGGTGGGCATGAGAGTGATTGTTTAGATTTCATGGCTATTTCTCCTATGGGTTGTGGTGTATCTCTTGGTTGTGTTTGTTCTTGTGAAAACTTGGGTTGCATGGGTCTTACTATACAGGTTAATGATGTATGACACAGCGTGCTTGTTGTTTGATATATGATAATAATATTAGCTGTTATGGACAAACTTTTTCTGATAATTGGGAATCACGGCCATAGAATCACTCCAACAGGTAATTCTCCTTGGACTTCTCGCTCGCAATACACAAGATTCACATTGTCTTCACGCTGTAGCAGGAACGGCTGCACTGGTAATCGTCCGAATGCGATAATCCCAGTAGTTAGATCGAATGGGATCATACTTCTCCTTCAGCAAGGTAAGCATACGGACAGCTTCCTGTTCTGATGTCGGTTCGCTTTCCGCAACGAACACATCAGCCAGCCATTCAACAGCATGGCTACTCTTGACCTCAACGCCACCATCTTCCTTATTGACGACGAACTTGCCAGCAAATTCCTTCCATTCCGAAAGAGGCCGACCCGCGGCACGCAATACCCCCCGCGCATATGACCACGGGCTGCGATTCTCGGGCGCCCGGACAATCTTGGACTTAGCGTACTTCAGCTCAGCGTCGACAACGTCTTCATCGACAACGGCTAGTCGGCCCTTCTCCGAAGGGTCTCCGCCGCTATTGGGCATTCCAGCATCTGGCTCGTTATCGCGCGGGCCAAACCGGAGCATGAAGCGATGGTTCCAAGCGGAGTTGTTGCGAACATCCGATGCAATGAGGGCCTCCACGTCCTGGATTTCCCGCGGGGCATCCCAGAGCTTGAAGTGGCGGACGTACCAGTGACGGTAAGTCCAAACATGGTAATTTTTGGAGTCTTGGGCAAACATTTCCATTAGGAAGTCTGGCTCCTTAGCCGGTGGGCTGGGGAAGTAGTCTGTGCGTGACATGAGAACTTGACGATGATGCCTGGTGATGATTGTTAGTTGCGTCGCTGGAAGTGGGATGGAAGGGATAGTTTGCCATACCATATCTGGTAGTTTTTCAGATACTTGAGTGAAACGCCATTAAGCCATTCCAGCTCGTCTTTGAGATCTTTGCCCAAAGCAAACAGGATCTTAGCTCGGTAAATCCTGATAGTTCTAGTCAGCTTCCCATCCCAACGATTATCTTAGGCGGGTCGGTTAAACTAAGCTTACCATACGGTATAGTGTGCCGGGTTCATCGAGATAATGTCTTCAGTCAACTTCAAGGCCCTTTCCGACATTTCGTTGGCCGCCATGACCGCTCGTAGATACGATGTGGCCTCAAGATAGTCCGAAGGATAGGCAATGGTAGCCAAGGGCTGGGCTCCTGATTCAGAGCCATCATTCAGCGGAATTGGCTGTATAGATGCCCACTCGGGATCAGATGCGTATTTTCCTTCCATGTTTCAGCTTGAAAGTAAATACTTTCTAGATATAGCGGCTAGTAAACAGTATAACAACGGATCAGGGGTACGGTGGTTCACGCTATACACATTCAAGGAGACCCTCCCGTCAATTTAATATATAGGTGAGCTGAAGTGTTCAACCGGCTTGCACTCTGGTGTCTCTGGGACAGCACAACTTAGACCCTCGTCCGATATCCCGACGTGGTAGTGAATGACGTCCGGTAAAATCCGGAGAACCAAAAGCCGAACCTAAGTACGTTACTTGGTCGCAACGGAGCAAGTCGAGTCTGTAATAGACACCTTTCTATGCTATTAATTGTCGGGTTTAGTTCCCGACGTGCAAAGAGGACTGCGTGATATAGCAAAACGGTGAAGATATTCATGTGGATGGATTGATATGCGCCAAAAAGAGCGACTCTCCGTGCGGGTGGGGTATCATTGCCTGAGGCATCCGCAGAACAATATCAAGGCGGACAGCCATTTTGGGCGATTGTTCTGGCCAGTCTGCCATTGTTTCCCATCATGTTCATCTGGTACAACAACCACTACTTGACCCCGGGTCTTTTTCTGAGCCACTATCAGTGGCGGTCACCGGTGCATTTCCAAGCAGCCAATGCAGATATCTCAGCCATTGTCCACAATGATTCATAAAGGGCAACGTGCGTTTCCCGAAGAGGATATAAAGTCCCCAGGCACAGTCATTGGCCCGCGATAAGGTCAGGCAAAGTGTCCCCCGCATTCTCCAACTTGACATGGCCATCGTCTCCTCATCCTCTGCCATATCCACCTGTTCCGCTTTCTTTATCCTCAACTTACCATGAGCCCACCTCGGACCGATAATGCGTCGTGTCAAAAAGTCTCGTAATGGTTGTGCCCGGTGCAAGAGCAAACGAGTGAGTTAAGTATCTTTTGAGCGGTGGCTACATAGTCCCGCCCCATGTGGCCCCAAACATTAATCTGATGCTCCGCCATTCAACAGGTAAAATGCGGGGAAGAACGACCTCATTGTAGTCGATGCACCCGTCTGGGTGTTAATTGCCCTGGATACGTCCAGTCTCTGCGCTGGGTCACCAAGTATCCGCCGCAGCCCCCCGGGGAGTCGAACAAAGATTCCACTGGCGATATTCCCAGTGATTCTCGCACCATCCCGAATCAATGTTCCGATCCCAAAAATCTGACTACCAGCCCTGCCGACTATGTTGACCCACTGACACAGTCGTTGGCCACGGACAATGACAGCCTAAACTTCACCACTTCCGATGACCCGGCCAATGCCCGGGGTCTGGAATTAGGTGGACCAAGCGGTATATGTGACAACTTATGGGACTTACAGCAGTCAGGCTCGCTACCGGAACTGGCAGACCTCCATTCTCCAGCATCGGCATCAACAGCTAGCCGAAATAACCCGGCATTGAACTTCGAGACACCGGAAAATATTGCAGATGATCCATTCGGGTTGTTCTCTTTGGCCGCACCGATTCTGCAGGATGAGCCTCACATCTTTTCTGGCTTTTCACCTTCTACTATAGTACGCCAGTACCCTCCACCTGGCTCGAGGCCATCACAGCGGGACTTCACCTCGATTCCGCAGCCCCTCAACAACCCTTCGTGGACTCTCGTGGAGTACTACTTCAAAGAGGTGGCGGCCTTGTTCTCCAGCTATGACAGTCAAATGAACCCATTCCGGTCGACGGTGTCCCGACTGTGGGGCTCGTCATTGGCCATGTGTCGAACCATGCAGAGCATGGCGGCCGCAACACTCGTCCACGACTTTCCCCAGTTCGGACCACTAGGCCGGAAAATGCGTGATGAGGCAGTTGACATCATCACAAAGGAATCGACGTTGGACGACAAGTCACTCCTAGCTTTGCTGATGCTTGGCCAAACGGCCAGCTGGCATGATCCCAAGGACCTTGGCATTTCCTTTTTCAACCTGCTGCGAAATCATCTGGACACCAAGCACGCCGGCTCACCAAATCCAGGCCGCAGCAATAACCATCAGTTCTTCGAAGAAGCTTTGATCTATTGGGAAATGCTCCTATCCTTTGTGGCAGATGATTCAGCGGTCTTGCCAGGATCCGCGGCCGCCACAACAGGTGAATCGCTCGTCCTACAACGCGTTCCTCATCCATGGACAGGCATAGCGCGCGATACCCAGCATACCGTCCAAGAAGTAGGCAGGCTTATACGTCGGGAGCGAAGACGAATCCGCTCCCGCTGCTTTACCTCACACTCAGACATTGCACGAGCCCAGCGCGCCATGGCAAAAGCAACAGAGCTAGAAGAACGACTTTTGGGGCTAGCACACCCTGCCGAAGCCGAAATTATCAGTCCAGGCGACGACGAAACACCGGTGTGGCATCTTCTCACAATGGCCGAAGTATACCGCTGTACCGGTCTAATGCAACTATATCGGGTCTTTCCCGATCTTCTTCGCCGACGACTACCCACACAACAGCCTTCCCCAAACCCACAAGCTCCAGAAGCAGCCATGCAGGATCCGTTCCTCTCTCCTCCAATGGGCAGTAGTACACCCTGGTACTGCGACCCTTCATGTCCACCCCCCAAATCCACCGACCCTACCGATCCAACAGCAACATCAACCACCGCACATTCAGGCTCCGGCTCCGACCCCGACACTTACTACGATACCTGGCTGTCCGAATTCGCCCTCACCACTCTCTCCCGCCTAAAGACCATTCCCCTTGAGTCCCGCACCAGATGTCTCCAGCCCTTCCTCCTCGTAGCCTCGAGCAGCGAGCTCCGTCTTCCCCGCGTGCCCCCACTAGACGCTACTCTGGACAGCAGCAACGGCCCAAGTATCTCCTCCCATGCCATCGACATCTCGCAAACTCGTCGATTCATCCTTGGCCGGCTCACCTCGTATCTGCACGTGCTCCCTCCCAAGCCCATTAGCGTCTGTCTGCAGCTGGTGCGGGAGGTTTGGCGGCGCATGGATGCCGGGGAACCGGGCATTTATTGGATGGATGTGATGATAGAAAAGGGCTGGGAGACAACGATGGGGTAGTCTTTCGTTTCTTCCTTGTGTTTGCTTCAAGTACCAGCTGGGGACTTTATGAATGATGAACTTGAAAGGATATAGTATTTTCTTTTCTAGGTGCTTTGTTCATATTGCTAGGGGTGTATATTTAGCGTTTCATGGTATCAGTACTAGTATCTAGGTTGTTTGTATGGTGAAAGTTTTACCGTCGATACATACTCCGTACTTAGTACTGACAAAAATGGGCAATCCTTGAAAAGATTCGGTAGTTGTACAGTAGTAGTAGTATTTTATTTTCAGTCTTGGTAACCTCAAATTCGAGCATACTACATAGAGGCTGAATACACATATCGGCTTGACATTCGCATCGCTACATCACTTAGATACAACATAACCCATAAAAATGCAGACATAAGTTTTCCACTGAAGCAGGCGTCCCTAATGCAGCATCTGAAGAGAGTCCGAAAAGAAAAATATTGAGGGAACCCATAAAGTCGAAAATGGAAAAAAATAAGACAAGAAAAGAAAAGAGAGATCAATAAATTGTGTATGGATAAGGAATACTATATTCCCTAGATAGATAAGAGGCGTGTCAAGAAGTTGGAAGGAATTATTATACACAGAAGGGAAGAAGATAGTAAGTATAGTGAAGCCATAACAGAAGAAAGGGGAATTGAAGGTCGATTAAACAAATAAATATGCAATCGTGCAATGCCCTAACACCAAGCTCGGACGTAAGGGGAAATGATCGTAAAAGGTTCAAGCAGGATGAAATGGGAGAGGGTGAGTGAAAGTGGCCTTCAGACAGCTCGTTTCCAGAACTTCCAGCCTTCCCGACGTTCTTGAACGCCGACGCCAACAAGACGCTCAATGCCTTCGGGTCCGTCGGCGTTCTCAAACTTCTGCTGGTCGATCTCTTCGCCGCCCTCTTCGTTGGTGCCATTGTGTAGCACCGCTGGCCAGAGGACTCCAATACCGTCTCCACCCAAGGTTGTCTCATACTTCGAAAAATTCTCTGCAGCGAGCTTGCCCTCCAGCTCACGGAGCGCGTCCGCGCTAGCATCTGGGCGCAGGAGTGTGATTGCACAACCACCGCCGCCTGCACCGGTCAACTTTGTCCAACCGATATTGGCAAAGTCGACCAGTTCCCGGATTCGCTCCAGTCGCGGATGAGATACCCCCAGGGAAACTAGGAAACCGTGATTGACACGAACCAGCGTTCCGATATGTTCGAGAGTCTCCTTGTCGATACTATCGCCATCCACCCCCTGGATCGCATCTTGCGCAGACACAGTGACCTTGTCGATGGCATCGAGGATCGATTCGGTGACGACTGGATGTTCCTTCTTGAGCTTCCCAACTTTGGCAACTTCAAGCGCCGTCGAGCGGCTCTGTCGTGTGTCAACGAGCAGGAGCGGCAATTCCGGGAAGTTCGGTAGCGGTATGACTTTGGGGGGCTTCGAATAGTCCTCTCTCCTGAAAATCACGGCCTTGCCGCCGGTGGAGACCGTGTTGTCCACACCACTAGGGTTTCCGTGTATACATAATTCTCCGACAAAAGCCCACCGGTTGATACGCTCAATCTGTAACTCCGCTTCATCTGGGGGTTGGTCATCATGGGGACCTGCTAGAGTACGGATCTGAAGTAGCAACGCAGCACTGAAACAAGTGCAGACACTGGCGCTGCTTCCAAGACCTGCACCCATGGGGATAGTTGAGCGCAAAGTATATATAGCTCCTGGGTGCTGGGGTGAGCCCAAGGAGCAAAATAGGTACAGAAACGCCAGCGCCGACCCTTTGTGTTTCTTCCGTATTTCCTCGGATGCCTTAGGTGATATGTCTTCAACACACGGTTTTAAAGAGTCGTACAATTCTTGGTCGAGGCTGGTCACTAGGTCGTAATAGTATTTCTTCTTGGAGGGCTGTTTGAAGAGGTCCCAGGGCAGATCGTCAATGTTCCAGGTGTGGTTGAAATCCATGTCCCTGAGATTTAAGGTGATAGTGCGCTGCGATTTGGACAGGGTGGTTACGAGAAAGTAGGAGCGAAGAGAAATTGCGGCGGCCATGGCAGCCTTGCCGTGCACGACGGCATGTTCACCGAAGACGATGACCTTGCCCGGCGCGGACACCATGAAAGGGGGCGCCATCGGCGACGAAGCCTTGCGGGCCATGGCTCTTTTCACGGAATCGACCCCGTTGGTGGGAGAGGTGGCAGGGATGCTAGAAGTGTTGGTGATAACGGTGGTCGCTGAAGTATTCGAGGCGGCGTCGGAGGTATCAGGACTATCGTCGCTAACGGTGACGGTTTTGGACTGAGGTGGAAGGGCATGATCGGGTATCAAATGGGACATATTGCGACGCTGGCCAGCTTTGGAGGCTCTAAGACTGCCGTTCTTGCGACGTACTCGCCCGTGGTGCATTACTGAAGCGAATGGAAAGGATACGTAACTTAGGGGGTTGCGATGGATCGGGGGGGCTGAAGGTCGGGAAGGCTAAGCGTTAGGACAGTTGGACGATGGGCATGGCGAGGAGAGAGAGACTAGGAGTCGCGGGGGGAAAGAGCATTAATGAGAGAAAAAAGGACCGCAGAAAGGCGCCCAAGCCAGCATGCGTGAAAACCAAACGAGAAGCAAGAGAGATTGGAAACACGAATCGCTGGGGGCAGTTGATCGGACGGCGCGAGGCAGGGATCGCTGGATGCTAGAAGGGGAAGCCGGGGTGGCAGCCAATCATCAGGCCCCAATTGTGCATTAGTCACCGTTTGACGGGCGGCCATCTGACAATTGCTTCTTCTGGCCTGCCTCTAATCCTATCGCCTTGCAGCGCCCATTACTTCGTGGTCTAGATTCTACACGGTAGCCCTGAGTCTGATTACCCTCACTGCCACCTGCTGCACTCTTCGTGCTCTCTGCTCTGCCCCCGACCAAGCAAATCACCTTTCTCCTTCCAGCTTTTGTAGCAAGGTAGTAGCACGGCGTCATCCAGACGCAATCCTCCAAAGGTCGGTGCGTAGGTATTCCGCCCAAAGCATGGGGTGTCCACTCATTCCTACCCTGATGCTACATTGGTCGGGTATACCGAGCACGACGCCCTTTGCAACCGGTTTCGCCTAGGTTGACGAATTCTCCCATTCAGCCGAGTATATATTCCGTCTAACCTCTCGGGTGTGAGCTCTGACTGGATGATTCCAGTTGTCATAAGACGGGGCACTGATCGGAGACGGCTTCCGGAGTATATCTGTTCCAAATTGCATCTCCAGCTCGCGGGCAAACACGTCAGTCTGAACCTTCCACGGCATATCAGCTTGGTAAAAATAAGAGCTCGGGTGTGAATGGCCACTCGCTGCAGCAATTGATGCCTACACACCTGCTAAAGTCCCCCTGAGTTGGGCTGACATTGTCTGGTATCAACTGTTCCTCTGATGCATCTCTCGCTTCGATTGAGTAACATAATCCATTCTCTGGCGGTGATCCTTGCTTTATCAACTCCAGCTCTAGGGGGTATTCTGTCGCTTAGTATGATCGTAGTAAGCAATCTTTGGGGAGCTCGTCTTTCAGACAGTTGAGTCTTGATGTAGGTAGATCTTCAGATCAATATCGGAGTCCATCAAAATCGCTCTTCTAACCATTTCAAGCAGCTGGGTTGACAATGCTTGGAATCATTGATCAAAGTCATTCCCAAATGGGATGGAAAAGAAAAAGCAACTTGTGATAGTATTGTATCGGGCATGAGTGTGTTAGTCCCTTTACCGTGTTGCATCAGGCCAGGGGAACGGTAGTATGCAATGGATGGCAGTCAGATGATTCCAGATGCAGATGGGGCCACTGCCAAAATGCAGTTGCAAACTGGCCCACCACATGCCATTCGCTCCTCGTGCAACATGCTGGGCTTTCATCAACTTTCAAACTAGACTACATATCATCTGCACAATATAAACCTTCTTCATATACAATTGTCATGAGCATGATACTACTTGATTTATTTGGCTTCAATCATTCTTACTGATGGATCATAACTGCTGACTACCATCAAGCTATAGTACCGGGTACGAGTCACTGCACACTTCATGTCTAAGTAAAAAGAATATATAAGACAGGCATCAAACAAACGATAGCACTCCCGCATCGAATGGGTCGAGGAACAGTGACATTTCTGAGACATTAGAACGACAGACACAACACCCCCAGGCCGGACTCTCTGATCAACTACTCCCAGCAGGCTCAGAGCCTCGACCCTGTCGATGCGGAGCTTGGTAGCGTTTGAGGATCAAGTTTTACTATTCAGCGGTTACGATCTTCATCTGAAGAGTTGCCTCAATGTCTCATGGCATGGTAGGGCCCTGTCTCATCGGGGCCTGACAACCACTGTATCATCCTGAGCTCACATGAGGGCATGATTCCTTCCCAATGGGAACAGGATGATCATGAACATTTCTTCGGGTAGATGATTAGTGCCATGCCGTTACTCATACAAATTCGTTGAACTCCTGTTCGAATACTTGCCAGTCTTCAAGATATTGGCTGGGAGCAGAGTAGGAACCTATCGTTTGCCACAGGACTTTTAGTTTCTAGGTTCCAAGCCAAGAAAGAGCTGGTTAACATAGGCTGAAACGATCTGCTACATGTTTACATCATCCCGATAGACTTTATACTTCCTTGCTCTGACATTTGACGTTTCTTTTCCCGGATAAATATACAAGGACCTGACCAAACAGAATGCAGACTGTCAGCCAGGAACCAGCCACCGGCCTCATACCCCGACCACTAGAAACATTCTTCAACTAGATCTCGATTAGGCGTTACAAACTACATGCGGCAGATTGTTACCGAAAGTGTCAATTGACTAGTCACTCAAGCTTAAATGCCGCATTATGCAGAAGATAAGCGCCGAACTCTGCGCCAGGTCGATCATCAATGCTTTGCTCCCCAAATTGCCATGAAAAGAAAGACTACTGGTTTAGGAGACTAGACCAAAAGACATTGCGGTAAACCCCCGAATCAAAGCCAGTTCCTGAAAGGAGCAAGAAATATCTCTCTGGAACCAAGTAAATTTTAAATCAAACCTGCGCTGTTGTACAGATCAGGGTATTAACAGGAACGGACGGTCAAAAATTGCATTGACATCAGTAAGTGGATAAAACAGTTCGAAGAAACAGCGTTTCAGCGATGAGCTTATGTCCATATAAACACGGGCTTGCCTGCCGCCATGAACCTCAGATTCGAATCCCAAGATAACTGAACAACCTTACAAAGTCAAGTCAGCAAATGTCTAAACTTCTCAATGCTGTCACTCTGCTCGGTGCAGGCACTCAAGGCTCGCGCCTTGCTTTCATGGTATGTTTGAGTCTCTCATTAGGAACCTGAGCTTTGGTTTGACTAGTATCGAAATAGTGGTCTCGCCAAGGGAGACCAGTCTACCTTGTCGACAAAAGCCCTGCCCAGCTAAATCAGGCATTAGCTACCATACAACGGCTAAGAGCCTCCGAACCAGCTGGGAAGGGTGGCAAAATAACCAGTCTCACTGTTGACGATCTGGACCCAGCGCTCCGCGACTCTTGGCTCGCTATTGAGGTAGGGAAGGACGACCAAGCACTGATACACCCTAGCTAAACCCCGTCAGTGTGTCCCAGAGGACCTGGAATACAAGCGGTCCGTGATGCTGGACCTCGATAGTAGATCGCACTCCCAGACAATCATCGCGTCAAACTCGAGCAGTTACTCAATCTCGGACATTTGTCATGGACTATCCCTCAGAGCAGATGACCGTTTCGTCAACCTGCATTCCTGTAAGTCCAATACCTACCAAGAACTGTCCCATAAGCAGCAACACTAATTATTACTTTTCCAAGTCTGGCCACCTGAGACAACAGGTAAGGAAGACCAGATCTAACCCAAACAAGAAGAAGCCTTTTCATTGTGCTAACTCCCCCGGCTTCAGCGATCGAAATCATGGGCTCCAGCCAAACCCGACCCGACATCATCCCTCTACTTATGAAGGAAACCCATGACCATGGATTCCAACCCTTCCACGTCCGCAAGTCCTCCACAGGCTACACCTTCAACCGGTATCTCGCCAACCACGTTATATGGAACACGGGTATACATGCTAATCATGTATAGCATCTGGGCCGCCATCAAGCGCGAGACACTCATGGTCTTAGAAGAGGGCATCGCTACGCCCGAGGAGGTGGACCAAATCTACAAGTGTGTGCTTAACACGCCCCGAGGGCCCCTGTGAGCTGATGGACATTGCTGGATTGGATGTGATTCTCGCCGTCGAAGAACATTACGCCAAAGTGAGGATGGGAATTCCTAATGCGCCGCGCAAATACCTACGAGAGATGATCGAACGGGGTGACCTGGGTGTCAAATCCGGCAATGGCTTCTTCAAATATAGTACTTAAATTAGGAGAGCCACTACTGTTAAGTAACACTATAGGATGTGTGCCAGTTTGAATCAATTGGCATGTCTTTTCTGTATACATTACATCATGCTACTTTTTTAGCATTCTTAGCTCTAGAACATACATACAATTCTTATGTTCAATTGTGTTTCGGAAATAGTCTAGATTGGAAATAGTCTAGAGCTGATATACACGCGGTTAAATGAACGGGATTCTTGCTGAAAATGAATGGAACCAAAGAGGGGGCTAACTGGAAAGAGGAGGGGAGAACATGCTTGCTGGTATCTTTATGTCTACGGTCTCTGGTCCTTGGTATCACTATAGCAGTTGCATTGGCAAGATCGCTTGATTGTCTCGTGCAGGCGTGGGCCTATCCTTGGGAATATTTGAGTGTACTGATAAGGGAATAGCGAGGAGTGGGCGTTGATGGTTGACACAGTTGGGATGGGTCAAACCATCGGTTATTGAAGCCTACCAGTACTACTAGGCTTGGTGACATGATAGTAGTGTGGGTTCATTCATGGAGAAGGACAATATCTTCAAGTCATTATTAATATATGCATATGCTATGAACAGTCAATGTACCAGTAGTCGTATATACTATGGCTTAGCGAAAATATGCAATGCCTTGCTCCCCTTTTTATGTTCATGCCCTTACGCTAGAGATTCATCGTTACAGTCATGCTGTTGCTATGGACCAGCAGACACGGCGGCAATCCTTGCCAGAAGACTGTCAAGTCGCTCAGGTACGAGGCACTTGCTGCCTCGCTCTGTGCAGTGCCTTCGGACGGCGATGGCAAAGTTGTGAATAGGACAGCTGTATCTTCGCTGTGCTGGTTCATCAGTTCATTCAAGATCAAGTGCTGTGCCCGACTAGGGAGATCATTGAATGATAAGGGAACTGATGCCTGCCTTGGGTATCCAGACGCGGTGTTGGGGACAGACGGCCCTGAAGAAGAGCGTCGTGTGTAAATGGATTCTATCCGGTTAGATGTGCGTGGAGGAGATGCACTAGGAGCGAACATGATTGAAGGGCCCGCACCCTCTTCTGTGTTGACACGAGCTTCAGGGATTGGCGATGAGCTGAATCTGCTGCTGGACGGCGACCGGTTAAATTTTGGCCGGGATGGACTTGACTGGGTCTTGGGGGATGTCCCGTCGTCGCAAGTCATAATGATTGATGGAACTGCCTGATCCGGTGCAACCTCTTCGGTAACCTTCTGTTTTGCCTTGGAAGATCCTGCCGGTTCTGATTGAGGACTCTGGATCCTGTGTTCGGCTTCCTGGCCATTTTCTTCTTCGTCGTCTTCCTCATCCAGGTAAGGCGGAAACTCCCCTTCGTCACTGCTCTCACCTGTGCTGCTCTCGCTGCTGTCGTAGTCAACAAAAGCATCCAGCAAGCGATGGGTTTGCATGCCTAAGCTGACACTTCCAAGCCCTCTGAAGCTCGAAATTGATCGCCGGCGCTTGGATGACTCCACCAATTTCCTCAGCCCACCGGCTAAAGGTTGTAGTGGCTTGTGAGCACTTTCGGGGCTTTGCATGGGCCAACTAGGAATCCGCTCGTCTGCCCTTTTGATAGCACCCACTTCAGCTCGCTGCTGAGCTTCATGCTCACTCCTAGATTTCTGTATATCCTGCCACCATTCTTCGTTCCGTAAAGCTTCATGGACTCGGGGCTCCGCATTTTCGGTCTCCGGTGAGATGTCGCCGTTCACGATGATACGGTAGGTCTTAAGATCACCGCATGCCAGCCAGAAAACCAAGACCTCGGCCTCTATCCTTAGCTTCTCGAGAAGCGCTTCGACCCTTCCTCTCTCGTCCTCAACGTCGGTTTCGTACTCAACGAAAACAGCCACTCGAAGCTTGTACGTCTTTTTCCACGACGGTACAGTGTTGAGGATACACCCTAATTGTAAGATGAGGGTGTAGGTGTCAAAGTTAGTGGTTAGAACATTCTTCTTGCTTTCACTGTCTGCACCGAGCTCCGCGCTCATCTGTATCGGCCAGAGGTCAATGTACTTCTTTGTGTGCTGTCCGTGTGGTCCAGGAAGCTCGAGATCCTCAAATCCCTTCGCCACAGCAACATTCATACGCAGCTTGAAGAGCAGATCTTCTAGGATGGTCACATATGTCTTGGTTGACATCGGTGGCTCCTGCGAACCGTCTTCCGCTATCACAGGCACCAGTTCGCGAGATATGCGTCTTCCACCTGATTCTCTCCGGCCTGAGAGGGATGGTCTTTCGACTAACGATTTGCCTTCGCGGAATTGATCAATCACGACTATATTCGGTCTCATACCTCCCAGTCCAGCACTTAGTGTGACATTACGGACACCCCATTCAGCAGTGGGAGAGACTGTAATATTGACGAAGGCCTTCACTCGGGAGTTCTCAACGAACTTGGTCCATGCAGTCTGCTGCCGTCGTGCCTCTGGCACAGCGGTGGTGAAATCATCTGTCACGAGCACATGGCCCAGCACAAACAACCCTCCTTTCTTCAGAGAGTTACAAAATGAGATCATCTTAGACTGCTCGCTGAGATCGTTGACAAACAACAGGATCTGTGGCCGCCAGAACTTGACATGCTCCTGGCGAAGCCGAAGCAGATATTTTCGCACTTGATGATAAATCAGACTCTGACTGACATCGCCCCAAGATTTAGGAGGCGAGGTATAGTGGATTAGCAGGAATAGCATCATCAGGACACCTACGCAGCCTGTGGCATAGATCCCGTCAACGAAGAACATGCTTGCGCCGCATACCAAGGTACCTGTCGCTGCGGTTTTCCAGTTGAAGTAGTGAAAAGATGGGCGAAAGTTGGGGGCAGACCCGATCTTTAGGAGGAAACAGGCGAGGTTCGTCACCAGAAAGGTCATCAGATAGGTCATCGTAACGAAGGATGCAATCTGGTTAATGTCAAAAAGCATAGTGAGCTGTGCAACCATGTAAGTGACTATGATTGCGTTAACGGGCTCATCAGTCTTCCTGGTACCCTTGCCGAAGAAACTTAGGCCAGGAAGCAAGCCGTCGCGCGCAACCGCCTGGAGCAGTTTTGCTGAGCCAATGACTCCCATGAGAGCAGAGAAAAAACTTGTCGCGAATTCCCCCATGAGTATAATTGACCCGGAAAGATTTGCCTGTACTTGGTGAGCGTCGCACACCGTTCAATTCATGTAATCATTACATACCACTTGAACAACGTTGGCATTTTTGTAGAATGATTCCCGGGTGATCGAAGCAGCCATGGCAAGAATTACAATAGCATAGGTGATGAATGTCAAGACTAGCCCACACAGAGTTCCCTTGGGAATCGATCTGCTCGGGTTCTTAAGGTCACCAGACATGCTCGCGCCGCTGTTGGTACGTGAGCTTGGTGTTCTTAAGTTCTAGGAAACGTACCTACGCGAATATACCACCAGTAGCAGGGAACAAAATCCCGAATAGGTCCTGGAAATTCTCCCTTCCACGTATTTGGCTGCCAGCAGCGCCTTTGGTAAGCTTGGGTTTGAGATTTTCTAGCAGCGTTTGAAGCCGCAGTCCTGTGAATTCTACCCCAACCTTTGGGATGCTGAATGGCTTCATGAATACGGCAGAGACTGGTATGCTGAAAGTCGCGATGAGGAGAATGATAAGCAACCCGTTGCTAGCTCTGGAGAATATAGAACTTCCCGCTAAGCATATCGCGGTACACATGATGAGGATGACAGTTCCCCAGAGGTATTGCCACCAGAAGCCTTCTCTAAGGAAATTGCCCCAAGTACCAGACTCAGACCCGAAGTTCTGTGTGAAACAGTCAACAAGACCGACGGCATTCATACCGGTATTCAACACATAACCCAGGTAGAACACTATCCCTATAGATCCACCAAACTCAGGACCTAGCGATCGAGATATAAGATAGTACGCTCCACCTCCTCGTACTGTTCCGTTGGTTGCAATAGCGGATAGAGACATAGTCGTTACGAGATTGATCGTGTACGAAGCGACCAGTAAACCTACTCTGTGTCAGGCCCCAATTGGCTTGTGTGGGTGATGATTGAAGGGCGCCATACCTAACATCCCTAATAACCCAGCTTGGCCGAGGATGAAGCCAAAGCGAAGGAACATCAGGATACTAAGGACGTTCAAGGTGGTCGGCACAAAGACGCCAGAAAATGTCCCAAGCTTATCAGAATTGTCAAGCGTACGGTCTTTCTGGCTATCTCTCTCCTTCTGACCCTCTCTGAAGGGCCCGGGGGGCGAGCGGTTGGCATTTAATCTCTCCCTAGGGAGTTCATGCTTTCCGTCGCTCCCCTGCCCACTCCACCAACGAGCAACATTATCTATGACGTTCTGTTGGGATTGTTGTCGGCTTTCGGATGAGCGGTGATGGATGTGCGGAGGCTCGTGCGAATGTGAGGAGGAATTCATCCTCCCGTGGAGGAACTTGCTACTTTCTTCGGGAGATGCATTGGCAGATTCGCTCGGATCCAACCTAGAAACGTCTTCTTCAGCCGCCCGCGTGGAGAAATTGGGTCTCCTTCGGGACAGAGACTCCGAGGCACTGTCAGCCCGTCCGTCCGTCATGGATATAGGGCCTGCGCTCCTGCTTGTAGGAGCTTTTCTCCTCCCTCATACAGCAATGACACAATTGAAAGCGGACGAATCGGAGGCGCAAGGACAATGAGACGGTGCTAAGACCGGGTAAGAGTAATTTGCCTGCAAGCACAGTAAGAGCTACTGTGATGCAAACCAGCAAGGACCTCTCAGGGCCATGCACGTTGAGTTACCGTGTAACGAACAAAGGATATTGGAGACGCGAAGTCCGAGTTCAGATTGTCGGCGATGACCTCATGTGCCGAGCGACAAACAAACAATGCAAAAGTGGTCACTGGGTCTGGCAGTCTGCCTCATCTGATCTCCCTTATCTCATCCTCGTCTCTCCATCACTTCTATCGTTCCTTTGTTGGCCCGTCCTCATCTTTGTTCATGATTGTCATGGTCGACAAGGCGCGGGG